TATTTAAGTCTTTCAACAGCTTTCAGCCAAAACTGGGCCTACTCTGACAAACCTTTCTAAGTTATTCTGAGAGGTTTCTTATCACGCTGGCGGTCTAAGAAGGTTTGGAATCTGCTTCATGCAGTACAAAGTTATTTTGTTGTCCATGACGACGGTTTACTTATCTCCATCCTCACTTACTGATTTGTTGGCTCTAATTTTGACATCATTTGTTTCACAAAAAAACTTCATATGGCTAGAACTAAGGCATCGAAAATATTCAACTTATATTCTGTTTCCATTGATGACTTTTTTAGAAGGTCCTAGAACTCTTACAAATGAGATTTTTGCCTTTTGCTATGCATAATTTACTTTTCCTCCTAATGTTAGTAAGTATAAAATCCTTTCCTGAAAAGATCCTGATACCCAGTGAAAATATTTCTGCATGTTGTGTAGAAAATATTTCTGCATGTTTGCAAAGGACATTTCTTATGAGACTGAAAAATTAGAAAAAATAACAATGAGAGAAAATTTAAAAGCAAAAAGGAACTACAAATAGAGGAAGATGGCAATTAAAAACAAACGAACAAAAAACCCTTTCTAGGCCTAACTGCCCAATACCCAAAGATTACTTTTTTTCCAGACTTGTTATAAACTGCTTTTGAAGGTGGAAATCCTTTTTTTTAAAGTTTGTATCATCAAGCACCTGTCCATCTTACATTATGCTATGTGCTTTCACACAGTATGTGAAAGATTCATTCAGGAAATTGGATTTGGGAAAAACAGCACACATTGGGTTGCAGAAATTAGTGTGGTGCATGCCCAGGACAGTGAGGAAACCACTGTTTTGGAATATGTTCATGAGCTGCCTAAGTGTGGTTAGATGGAATGCAACTAATCTATGGGTGAAATCCACGGTAATGTTATGTTTTAAGGGCTTGAGAAGCATGCAGAAGAGACTGTGGTAGTAACTTAAGGGAGTTACATGATTAAAGTGATATTTTGGGGAGATCAGTTTGGCAGTTATACACAAAGGAGAAACTCAAAGACTGCTGCATTAACTAACCCGAGATGTTCTAAAAATTAGGAGTAAGGGGGCAGCAAGGTGGTGCAGTGGACAGAGCTCCAGCCTTAAGAGTCAGGACGACCTGAATTCAAATCCAGCCTCAGACACTTGACACTTACTAGCTGTGTGACCCTAGGAAAGTCACTTAACCTTGTTTGCCTCACCAAAAAGCGCCCCCCCCCCAAAAAAAAGGGAGTAAGGGAAGGCAAGCAGAAATCAAACCCTACAGGAGAACGGGAATGAGTCATTTATAGTCAACAGGCATTTATTAAGGACCCAGTGATAAAGGAAAGATTCCTGTTGGGAAAGTCTAGACTAACAGCCAGGCCACTTTTGGTTGGGGCAGGGAGAGATACAAAGTCGATGTGCTGGGCTTCATACCCATTCACTCTACAGTTGCCACCAATACAAGTGGAGCTGCCCTTGATATACTAAGAACTGAAGCATTTCAGCTCAGCTGTGATTTCAGGGAAGAGACATGTTTGGGAGTCATCAGCATGAAGGGGTGAGAGTGAATGAGCTTTCCAGCGTGGTTACGGTGCAGGGAAGGAGGAAGGACCAAAGACGGAGCCCTAGAAATCACCCGTACCTAACAGAAGAATCATCCGGTTTTCTTTCCTTTATCATAGCTGGTGGAGGGGACATGCTATGCTTTCGAGGAACTTATTTGTGGGGCTTCCCTTTCAACAATACACACCAAGACGCTTCATGTTCTTGGGTCTCTGGTCTTGCATGCCTTGCTGTGAACAAAAAAAATTCACTAGTGATGAGCCTCTGAGCTTGTTTGTGGCTGGTCCTTGAATGAAAGGCTATTCTAGCTGCCCAATGTGAAGACTCTGCAGCTTGGTAAAATCTGTCAGTGCCTGCATTCTAAAGCAGTCTTCAAAATTCCAGGGTCATTTCCACATCACAGCAAAACATCAGAATAGAATTTTTCAAAGGGTTAGCTATCATGCCACACAATGAAGGGAAACAATATATGCATATCCAAGGGTCAGTGAGTCTTGGCTGACTGGAAGGGTCTTAAAGAAATGCAATTACTCAAGCAGACCACATTTCACACTCCCTTGGCAGGACTCCAACTAAAATAAATGGACATATAGACCATTATTAAAAGAGAAGCCATAAAAGTGATTTTTCTTCTATAGGAATCGATTCCAAAAGCTCACAACCTTTTGAAGGTTGTCACATCTGCCCTACCAAGCAGTTAGTGTGAAAATGGAGATAACTAATCACCATTTTGTTTCCGAGGTGCAGCGTGACAAAGTGAATAAAGGGCTGGATCTGAGGCGATTCACGTGGCCCAGTCTTCACACATGAGTACCACCAATACTGCTGGACAAGTCGCTTCCCAGTCTCAGAATCTTTCTTGGGGAAATAGGCATCATAGATGTGCCACCTGAGCTGTACATGAGCTAACGTCATTTTAAAAGAACAATGGAAAAAGTTTTCATGTGAGTTATAATTATTTCTATGACCAATTTACACTTGGGGGGTGTGTGTGTGTCTGTAACAGGAAGAGAGTGACAGAGACAGAGACATCCCATCAAGTTCAAGTCACAGTTAACAATGGTAGTCTATTAAGGCCTCTGGTAAACACTGGCCACTCAAGTGGTATTGAAAAGCAGTGCAGTAATTAGTCTTCTGTTAAAAGTCTCACACTGACTAGGGCCTCTGGGAAAGAAATTAAACGTTGATCTAGTTTTTTTCAATGAACAGAAAACTACTCACTAGTTTTGATGAACTTATGATGCTTTGTTGATGAGAAATACACTATAAAACTCAATTATTAAATGCTGAAATGAATTTTTATACTTTTAACTTCCTCATTTTAGATAGGAGAAGAAAAAACAGCAGGTAAAAGGAGCACCAAAAGCAAACTAAAGGCTGGGGATTGATTCTTCATGTGAGTTCATTTCCATGATGAAATGATGAGTGCATCCAAAGAAGATGAGATGTTCCCTACTGGTACAGTAAACCAGGTCTATAGGTTGAAATAAGCATGGTAATGGTAAACTTAGGAATGAAGGCTGATCCAGCAACCAAATACTCATTGGCATCAGATAACTCATTAAATGAACTTTTTGCAGCAAAAGTTAACAGTAAATTATCCTTTTGGACTTGGCCATAAGTTTTAAAAGTTAGATTAGCAGACAGAAAAGAATTTTTGTTAATTTGGGGGTGTTTTTTGAATTTATGAAACAAGCTTTTTATACTTTTCATTTTTATTTTTAGGTATTGGGGGTTAAGTGACTTGCCCAGGGTCACACAGCTAGTAAGTGTCAAGTGTTTGGTCTGAGGACAGATTTGAATGTAGGTCCTCCTGACTTCAGGGCCGGTGCTCTATCCACTGCACCACCTAGCTGCCTAAACTTTTTAAGGCATATACTGCATTTATATCATGACTTCAATACTTTAAAAAATTACTAATCAAATTAGTAACATATATGCTTAAGAATTAAACCAAGTAAGAAAAAGGCTATATGACCTAAAGAAATGACAAATATTTTAAGATGGAGACTGAATGACTACATAAGGAGTAGCAGAATAGAAAGCTAAATGTTTGAGAGTTTAAAGAGCTAAAATAATACCCAAAGTCATTATAATGAATTTTAATGCTTCAAGATATCTGACATTTCATCACTCTAGGCATCTCCCTCTTCTGAGGTTTAACCTAATAGCCAACCTTCTAGTGATGGAATTTTCTGAACTTAGTAATAAAGCCTGAGAAGAAGGGCAGATGTCATCTATGGTGGGACCCAATACTACTTGATGATGCTATAAGACTCTTTGAAAACTCCCAGAAGGTGTTAAGATATATATTTTTAACATACTTTGATGAAATGTACTTACAAGACAGGGGAAATGCTATCCACATCCGGATAAAGAACTGATGGACTCAGAATGCAGATTGAAGCATATTTTTTTTCCACTGACTTTGTTCTTTCTCATGGTTTTATTTCCTTTAGATCTTTCTCTTTTTCCACAACTGTGATGAATATGGAAATGTTTTATATGATAGCACATGTATAAACTATATCAGACTGCCTAGACCATTTTCAGAAGAGGGGGTGGAAGGGAGAAAAATTTAGAACTCAAAAATCTTGTAAAAATGATGCTAAAACATTTTCCAAATATGTAATTGGGGAAAAAATAAAATACTAAAGAAAAAAAAAAGATAGGACATTGTTCCAAAGTCCTCCAAAGACTTGCGCAATGCTGGATTCGGAGTCCTACTACTGGACAAACTGCCCTCTCTGGGCCTCACATGCCCTTGTTTGCAAAGTGCAGGGTTGAAGCCAGAGCACCTATGTGGTCTCTTTCTGCATCAGAGTGAAAACTTCAGGTTTCTCAAGTTTTTGGGATTCCACATCTAAAGGAGTCCCAAAAAGGAAATGATGACAGGATTATAAAAAATGGATGGGGAGGTGTAGGGAGATTTCACGATTTCCAAGGCAAAGAAAAGGTTATTTAAAACAAGAAAGTGGGGCAGCTAGGTGGCGCAGTGGATAGAGCACTGGCCCTGGAGTCAGGAGGACCTGAGTTCAAATCCAGCCTCAGACACACAACACTTACTAGCTGTGTGACCCTGGGCAAGTCACTTAACCCCACTGCCTAGCCAAAACAAACAAACAAACCCCCCCCCAAAAACAAAAAACAAACAAACAAGAAGGTGACCAGCTCCTTTTCCACCTCCATCAAGGGGCTCTGACGAGGGTCAGTTCTATGCAGATTCCCTTAGCATTAACCACTTATCAACTCTAAGGAAGAAGTACTACTACTGAGACAGGGTAAATAGCCACAACCCTGTGGCTTCACAAAGAGCAGGCTGGACAAGACAGCCGTACCCATTCCTGTCATGAACAGACCCTAAATACCACACGTAAGTTTGTTAGTCACATAATTTACTGTTTTAAAAAACGTGATAGATGTATGTATAAAAAGCACTCCAAAATCGTATTTGGTGGTTGTATCCTTGCTAATTCAAACAACAATTTATTGTAAGCACAGCAGTTTGTTAACAAGATAATACCAATATGGAGAAATATTTTTCAAATATTATAAATAGCAGCAGCAAGGTTGAGATACAACATTGAGAGCACCTCTGCACATCCTTGAGTTCCCTCTATCTCAATCCCACAGAATATGTATGTTTTCAATGTAGAAAGGAAAACACCTAACAGAAATTTCAAAATTCACTGGCTTATGATAATCTATCTGGAAGTACAGCCATAATCCTACAGTTTACACACAAACAAAAACAAAGTAGAATTCACAAAGGCATCATGAATACTCTAGAAGAGACAGGAAATAAGACTGGGCAGGTAGAGTATAATAGTGACTACGCACATCAATGTTTAATAGTTTGCTATCCTATTAGGAAACTACCAAAAGTTTAAGGATTCATTTATATGTTAATCCTTCTTTTAGTTTTTAGAAACACTGTAGTCCCAAGTTTTATTTTGCCAGTATATTTATTGACAAAATATTTAATAAATAGCCTCATATGAAATAGGATACTTTTACCATCAAAATCTTCCAAACAAACCTGGTACCTGGATTCTGTCAGAAATACGAGACTGGGCGTGTACCTTTCATAGTAAGGTTAATTAAATAAAAATGACATATCAAGTAGGCAAAATTAATCGTCCACATATTGGTTATTCTCCATTACAATCAGTTACACGAGGGCCTGACAGCGTGTACGTTTCTCACTCTTGTGAACTGCAGACGGTAATAAACAGCTTGCCAGTTTTGACACTGCTATCATCATCAGGCTACTCGTCACAAATCATTTTCCACGGGAAGGTTCTTAACACAGGCTCTGCAATGCATCTCTGCCAAACACACAGATGGCACCACGGGAGCTTTATCAAGCTGTCATCATCATAAAAGCAAGTGCTTTCAAATGAGATGTCTTCTTGCTTCTTACAAATTCAGGCAAGGCGTATCAAAATGCTTCCCATGTTTACCCTCTCAGATTGCTGGCTGACTCATGTTCCACAAAGAACCAAGAGCAACACTGACATCTTCCTTTTCCACAGGGAAAAAAAACACATGAGTATATATTAAGCTGCCAAAAAGGATAGGACGATTATAATTGCAGTTAACAATGTAAACAAAAACCCCCAAATGAGTAACTTGTGATGCTTATTTAAAAAAAAAAAAGATTTTTCTCTTGTGACTGGTCATAAGGAAAAATGATAATGTCAATTATTTGGGAAAAATGTCTTCCAAATTCATTTATACTCATCTCTATTTCTAATAAATTTCTGCCTTTTATATTCTAGGTTGCAAAACAGCTCTTGAATTTAATAAAGGAAAAAACAATTAGCCAATGAGCCCTTTTAGAAGCAAAACCAAGTTTTAAACCTGCAGTTTCTTAGGGACTAGGCAAGCAATCAGGACTTACAACACCTATGCAGAAGAAGTGCAGAGTAATTTAAGTGACTACTTGAGTTTTGACTGCTACATTTTTTAAACATTTTTACTTTTTTAAATTAAAAACAAAACAAAATAAAAAACAAACAAACAAACAAAACCAATCAACCAAACCTGGGACATTGGTTCTTTCATATAATAGATACAGAAATTTTATTCCTCTTAGATCAAAGCAGCTTTAAAGCATTTAAAGATCAGACTGTGAAAGAAAAATCTCTGTACATCTATTACTTGTCTTCGTACATTCTAGGAATATTACATACTGGGACACAAAGATTATTTTTATAATGGAGAATGTGAGCAAAAAAGCAACAGCAGAAACCTGAGGAAAGGATGAATGGAAAAGGAGTTAGAAAGAAAAATGTGATACTAAGGCTAAGTAAATTATTCATGAGAGTAACTGGATATTAGCACATTACCCAGTATGTGAAAAAAAGGAAACTGGAGAGAATAAAAGCAAAACAAAAGAAAACAAAAGCCCCCAAAAGGGATGATAACCTTAAAAAAACAAAACACATACGCAAAATTCTTTAAAAATGAAAACCATTTTCAATAAGATCCTGGAGTTGGGAAGGACTAAAAAAAAAGCTATGTATAGCAAAAGAATAAATATAATGGAATAAATAGATAGTATTTCCATTTCTAAAGCGCACAACTGCATTTGAGAACCCACAAAACTACTATGGGTTGGGTATAACAGGAGCTGTTTGAAGAACAAGTGGCTTGTGAAAGAAAATGAAAAAGATATTATGTAAATGCTCTATTTTTTCCTGGACTGGCCATCTGATTAGTTGGTATAATAGTAAAGTTGAAAGAATCAAAGTACATAGGACCTCAAAGGTTTACTGATCACTTCACCTTTTACTCCTTGGGTTTTTAATAGAAATTAATCAAAATCCTTCTTTCACATTCTGGTGAGTCAATGGAAATCCTACTTATAGTAAGACTTGTCAAATGTCTACAGATTGCCATTGCTGACCCATATGTGTACAGATTCCTTGCAAATTGATGGTAAAACATTTTTTTCCTCCTGCCACACTTCATACAGTTGCCTGCTGCAACTTTGCCACAATTACATCTTAAGATGTGCCCTTAATTTGAAGCCAGCAATAAGTCATTTTGGAAAGACCATATTTGGTTATTATGATAAAACCAGAGTTTTAAAGGTTTATTCCTATTCTAAGTATACAAAGAAAAGCTTTATGTAAAGTTACTTTAAGTGAAAATTCGTAGTGAAATAGCTAAGGCAGCTCTTTTGGACTTGATGATTTGGGGGAAGGGAAGTCAGTATTTCCACTGAGCTACTTTTTTTGTGAAAAAGTTTTCTTGGAAATTTATTAGTATTACGGTTATTGTTCTATAGATTAGACCAGAAGTAACTATTGCAGAATGAATGCTCAATCCAGCTGTTGGCCAGAAAAGAATTTAATTAAATTTAATTTCTGAAATTTACCACTTGTTTTATAAGCAATTTTCTAAATTATAATTATGACAAAACCGTAATGTAATCAGAGAAGGCAAAATGCATTAGAACTGAAATTCTTTTAAAGGTTTTAAAAATCACTTTAAAAAGTGATTACTGATTTAAACTGCATCAACTCACCAAAGCTAAGAAACAAAAACATTCTGGAAAGTCCAATGATTAAAAAGTATAAGGGCTTAAACAAGCCTAACACCTATGCATCTATCTAGTTAAATGCCACAGAACCAAATTTCATAAACACTGAATTTTAAAAACACTACAAACAACGTCAAATATAAAGTATTAGCATACCATATCTGCTAAAAATATGATAAGTTTACACCTTTTTCCTATTAAATTCATAAAATGTTCAAAATCTACTCTACCACAATATAACATAATGGCTTTAATATTTGTAGACTGAGCAGAAGTCTAACTGTATATGCCCTTACTACATGAACATATGTGTGTACACAAGTAATTCCAAATACACAAAACAAAACAAGAAAAGCAAGCAAAGCCAAAGGCAGAAAAACTTCAGACAGATGTAGAAGGGCGGGGGAAACAAATTCATTTTTGTTTACTGTCTATCAATATTCATTTGGTTTCTAACTTTATAAAATGTTATGGGTTTTATGTAAGGATTTATTCCTGACAAGCAAGGAAATATGTATAAACATGTTAAGTTTATCATAAAAACTATACAAGTATCTGTTGACTACCAACCTTAACTAAAAGACAAGCTCAGAACAAATTCTAATAGGATAACAGGATGCAGGCCTTCAAAATAATTTATATTGATTGGGGAAAGCACACTTAAAAATAGGATAGCCATGTTTAAAAAGAGCTAAACAGAAATAATAGAATAGAACAGAACAATATCTTACTGTCTTTAAATAGGCTATCTTGAGTGCTTTAATGCCTTACTTTTATAGTACTGATAACAGGGTCCCTAGGGTTTTCTAATAAAGAACATTTTCCTCCCCTAGAGGTTTGATCCCTCATAAATTAAACATTGTCTTCCCCCAGGGGGTGTTCCCTTGATAATTAACCTAGAATACCATCACATCTGTACTCCTTTATGGAAAATTAACAAAGTTTCTTAGGATCATCTCAAAAGCCACACAAACGAAGAATTTTAATATAGAATACCATTCTGTGGAGAAAACAACATAATGTATTGCATTGCCCTTACAATTTTCCTGTAAACAAACCAAAGGGAGATTATTATCCCCCCCTTCCTTATAGGAAAGGCTGATCCTTTGATTTTTCAAACTCTGTTAATAGCTCAGACTGCCCTGTTCTCCACGGCACCTCTTTTGGGGGTGTTCTCAATGCAGTCGATTTCAAAGACTTACAGTCATTTCAGATGTGTTCTCTCATCTTTTCCTGCTCCATTCTGGCTCCGTGCCCCTCCACTCCCAGCTTCCTAATAACCACTAGGGGAAATTGGCTATCAGTTGGAATTTTTTTAAAAGCCAAAATAACCCAAATAATAAGTTTTCTCATTAATTCTAGTTTTAAAAGTTCTTAGACTGACTGCTTTTTAAGTTTTAATTAGACAATTTTGCTATCTTTTTTTTTTTACTAAATAACATATCTTTTAAATAGTAGATTCATCTTTATTTTGACAGTATTCTCTAGCATAGAGTACAGAAATGAAAAAGCACATTGGATTACTTGTCTTAAACTATACATGAACCTATCTCACTATGCATTACAAATATCTCTATATTATGGATAATTTAAATAAGAGAGCCAAAAACATTTTACTAAATAGTCTCTAAGTGCCAATAAAGTTATAGGAAGAGGGCCCACATAATAAACTTTTGGGTTAAAAACAAAAGGACTAGTGACTGGTGGTGCAGGGCTCCATCATCCTCCAGAAAGCTAGGAGAAACGATTTCATACCTAACGTAATACATTCTTAACTAACAAGAGTCATGACCTCTCTCTGTCTCAATCTCTACTCAGAGATCCAGAATTACTCAGTATAAAGGTTACAGACTAGGATGGTAAAGAGATATATATATATATATATATGTGTGTGTGTGTGTGTAAACACACACACAAGCTTGCCTTTCATATACATATAAGGACATGCACGTGCACACACACGGATGACATGAATGTTTGCTACGTGTATCTGTGTGCACATGCACCCCCCCCCCCAACATATGGATGTAAAACACGCCATAAGCCCATGAGTAGCTATCTGGTTCCCAGGGTTAGCCCCATGCTCCTACTCTGGCCTGGCAGTTTTGATTACCTTTTGAAGACTAAATTCTCCATGCTGCAGCAGTCAATGTCCTTAAGGTACTACTTTATACAATCCTTAAGTTTAAACCAAAACAAAGAAATGGAAAGTACAGGCGATCCCATCTGTCTCGAATATAGTTCTACAGCAGTTATGCTTAAATCACATTAAGAGGATTAAAACAAGAGATAGTTTGAAAGATGGAAGATATTCTGAGATGTCAACACCTCAGTCTGTGTGGACTTAATATTAAAAGAAAGTTTGAGTAAAAATCCCCACATAAAATACCACAGCCACTACACACACTTATTTTAGCCCAGGCTACAACTGTCACAATAAAATATCCCTATTCCAGAAAACTGATTTTGAGAAACACTGAATATCTCCAAAGACACTGTGCTCAGAACATTTGATTTGCATAGGTATAGGAAAAAAAATCAAAATTTAAACATAGGTATATCTATCTAAGACTAGGTGCTATCACCCTAATGTAAATATCTACAGTTACCTCAAACAGCTGAAAATTTTTTCTTTGCTTTTCCTGTGGTGTTAAAATCATTTCAACATGTGTTCACACTGAATTTGGCAGCTTAGGCTTTGGGATAGTACTGGGCCACTAGGGGTAAGTCAGATGGTTAAAAGCACAGATATGTTCATGGAAATACTCTATTGGTAACTCAGAACCCCCTTCACAATTAATTTAAATTAGAAGCCTCAAATCGCAGAGCCCAGTTTTGAACGGATCACATAATGGTAGAAATTATCAAAGAAAGACTAATTTTGCCTGTTTATATGATGTGGAAGTCTACATTACACACAAGTCACAAGACTTTCCAAAGACTGTAGCAGAGGGGCTCCCCTGTGCTCCCAAGTGTGACGACATGACCTGTACGTGAAGAGTGGGTGGGTGACAGGCAGAGTCAAGTATCATGGTGCTCCTTACCCTTCACTTGGAAATAGGAGCTCACTGGACATTTTTAAAAACCGGAGTACCGTTTACACCTAAAGAAAGTTGCCAAGACCAAAGCAGCAAGCCCGACTAAAGCTAGCAATCCTTTTTTCTCTTAGCTAGGAAGTGATTTTCTTGGAAAATTCTCTTAAGTAAGTCATTAAGCTAACATTTTAGCAGCGGTAGCAGCGTGTCTTCAGCCAAAGCAGGTCATATCTAGCAAAGGAAAAGGTGAAATGGCAAGCATGAATTCAAAGCTGGGTTTTTGGTAAAGGAAAGCTATTGCTGGTGCCACCACAACTCAGAATGGTGTTTCCTTTTTGAAATTCATGTTTTTGTTCATCTGTGTGACAATGACAAGAAAACCTTGAATACATCAATGAGATGGACTAGTTTGTCAGCTAACCTCTTATTTGTTTTAATATTTAAATTATAATAATACAATAACTAGAAAAAGGTCAGTGCTTCAATGGCTTTAAACCACTTCAATTCCAATTTTTTTCAAAAATAACGATGCAATTCAATCTACACTTGCGCATCAGTAGTGCAATAATACAGTGTCCTTTCCTGAACAAAGGAGCTGAGGTTTATCCACAAGAGAAGCTTTAAATAAGGTAGGTTGTTGCCATCTTTCTATCAATTCTGCAAGTCTGATATAAGATACATCGGGAAAGCTTAAACTGACGTATACAATCTATTCAGCTAAAGCTTCACCTAAGCAGCATTAATCATTGGAAATGAACATCAGAGGTGCACTCAATAGAAAACACTTTTCAAAACTACTGCAAAGAACAAATGACAAAAATGGCTAAGAACAATGGAACATCTGTTGGTGTCCCCAATGGGGAAGAATGGGCCCTGCAGTTACTTGCACTGTCTGGATGCGTGACGGGGACCCCTGACGCCTTAGTCCACTTCCATCTCTCCAGCAGAAGGCTTAGTGTGCGGGGAGCTTTCCTGGGCTGCATCAGGCTTACTTTCCGTCCCACTCTGTCCATTCATTGGTCCATTGTGTTCACCATTCGCTTTCGCTTGGTCTTCAGACACCTCCACTTTGGGTTTGGCCTTGTGAATGATGGGGTTACAAAAACTATCCAGCTCCTAATGGCATTAAATTAAGAGAAATGATTCTACTTAATAATGAATGGTTAAAATGACCACATCATGTTTGATGCTCTTCTTTCTGCCTGCACTTGTCTGCTGTCTTCTTTTTTTTTTTTGTTACTAAGTATTCATTACATGAGATGATGTGAAACTGGCATGTATAACAAGATTATATAGTTGTCTTTTCATTAAGCTTCCCCTCAATCCCATTGCCTTAGATTATTAAGGGTAGCAATAACATAGTTTATAAGTTCTCAGGCATGGAGTAATTTTTGTTTTAATTTTTTTTATTCTGAACTTAAAATATCAAATAAAGTAGGAGCTTCCATATACACAGTAGAATTTAAAAAAAAATTGGACATGGAACCGAGGCTCTCCATTATGTACAGCTTTATCTTTAAATTTGTAACAACCTCAACGTGTCACTTTACTCCTAGTTTGATCCTTTCTAGGCCTTCTTTCTGTTCTTTGGTTAAAACAAACCAAAAACCTTCAACAATTATCTTCTCTTTATCTGTGACCTACCCCTACCTTTACCACCTCCCCCCCCAACTGAAGAAAAAAACAAAACCTTGGGAATTATATTATCTGTATACTTGTGACAAATTTTATAATCAGGAGCCAGAATGGTACAATTTAAAGGGCCGTGACTAATGGAGCCAGAGGACCTGGCTTCCCATACCACCTCGGACGCTCCAACAAATCCCTCAATACCTGTCCCAAGCCACTTCTGGATCTCACTGTTCCTCCACGTTCTTTCACTCTGTACCCTGTTCATAAAGCTCCTGCTTTCTTATGCTGTCTTACGTTTCTTCTCTCACTCCTCAATCTCCAAATTTCTTAGGCGTCCCTCAGGCATACGCTGTTTATGGTGAACATTTTTCTCTTAATCTACCCATTAAAAATTAACAAACTTTAAAAAATTCCCTCAATGACATTTCTCCTGGGCAGTCTTTTTCCGGGTCATCATTAAAACTTTACAAGCCAAGGAGCACATGGAATTGTCTAATCTTGAAAAATGAATTTTTCACTTATCCTTCCCTGAGTTCTTCCACAAATATGCCCTCTATTTAGAGAACTCATCTGGCAAATTAAGATTTTTTACTTCTTGGATCTGAAATGTGTCTTGTACTTAAATTAAAAATGGGAAAATTCCAATGGGGGAGAAAATGAGGGTGCTTTCTTAAGAAACCAAGAGGGGAGCCGATGACCAAATGAGACTTTCAGAATCAGGGAGAGGTAATGATGGGGAAACTAAAAAGCACGGCACAGTCCTCTAAGAATGGTGCCCAGAGTGCCAAAGCTGAAAAGAGGCCAAGGCTAGCAAGGAATGCTCAGAAGGACAAAAAAGACTTTGTTGGGTTCTTAAAACGACACTGAGGAAAAACAGCTGGATCTAAGAAGTCGCAGGACCGCCACTTTGGGTCAATGAGGGACAGAAGCCACGGCTGATCAACCTTGATTTTGCTTCTTTGCCAAGGAGACTTGTCTCTGAGCTAAACAGAGCACAACCAAAATGCTGGGCAGGGGAGTCACGTGCAGGTAGTAGCCCTCTGGGCCACAGGGAAAGAGCCCTCACAGAAAGATGAGAACTAGTGGGAAAAGAGCACCTGCAGGGGCAGTGAGAGGCAGGCATCCTGGTGGGGCACTAGCAGGGCTGTGAACCCTCATGGCCCACGGTCTTCACTGGGCACGTGCCCCCCTATACTTTCTTTCTTGGCCAAGGACTGAATATGCAGTGGAAGCGCAAGCCAAGCCACTATCTACACAAACATAATTCCTCTGCTCTAAGCAAGTGAGAGAAGCTCAGGGACTGGGGGGGCAGTAGTCGTGTCCGTGCCCCCTTCCCCCCCCGGCCAAGATCTTACCTTGGACTTCGCCACTATTTCGGCTACTTTCACCACCGGATCTTGAGTGAGGCTTAATTTGTTTTGCGCATTCATCTTGCTGTTCAACCAATTCATGGCTTCATTGACAAATTTTTCCACCTTTTCCATGTCAGCAGCATCTAAGTGATCATATTTTTCATCCTAATATTTTTTAAAAAAAGGTCTACTTAAAGCATGAAGCAATCCTCAGTAACATACGTAGTATGATCATCTTAGTGGGCCTTATGAGAGGACAAAAGCGTGGCAATCTAGGCGAAGGTGCACACATTAAAAAAACAAAAACAAACAAACAAAAACCCAAGCCCAAACCAAGCACCTGTGTACTGTTTACAAAAGAACATATAAATGAGTGTAAGTTAGCAGTGTCAATGTCTGTGGCAACTGAAAGAAACAAGTGAACAGGATGGGCTGGGGCCAATTAGGAAAGGCTTCCTGAGGAGGGCACCCACTGTTCCAGGTTTCTACAAGGCTGGAAAATGGTGGGATGCACTCTCTACAAGGGAAATGGCACATGCAAGGGCATGAAGAGGAAAGTGAGTAAGCAACAGAGAAGAGCAGATATCCCTGGAATGGAGTAGAATTCTCTGCAGGAGAGGACGAGTAAACACAGATTGGTTAGTTAGGAGACGATGTCAAAGGGCAGGAAAAGGACTCTGGATTCAATGGAAGACTGCAGCTATCCTATGAAGGAGACGCCAAAGTGGTCAATGGGGCCACAAGTCTCTCAAGGATGCCACTGCGGCGGTCAAAGTCCATGCTAGGGACACGCCTCTAGAAGAACAGAATGGGGCAGAGAGCACAAACACTGTGGGAAAAAGAGCAGTAAGACTGTACATGGAGTGGTCAAGAGGTTAAGGAGAGTTTTCTTTTCTTTTCTTTTTTTAATTTGGTTAGGCAATGGGGTTAAGTGACTTGCCCAGGGTCACACAGCTAGTGAGCATTACGAGGCCAGATTTGAGCTCAGGTCCTCCTGAATCCAGGGCTGGTGCTCTACCCAGTGTGCCACCTAGCTGCCCCTTAAGGAGAATTTTAAAAAAGCATTCTGAACAACCGAGAAATCGAGGATGTCATCTGTCAGACAAGTACGCTGCACAGGAACTGCCCCTTCAGATTCTGGGTCTTGTCCCACTCTCTGTGATGCCAGACCTCTGACCTTGTCTTCCCAATATCTATACACTTCCTTGTTCTACACTGGCCAGCCCCACTGTTGTGATTCCTCTAGGACAGCCTGCTCCCACAATCACCAGAAAAAGAAACTGGGGAGGGCTGCTGATTTGGATGACACAATGCGGTGAGCCGAGTTTTTAACTTGTTGACAACATATGGGGTCACAGAAATAGATGAGAGGCGAAATACAGTGAACACACATAAGAATCATTAGAATAACAATTTGAAACCATGTGAATGAACGTATAAAAACCTGAATTAAAGCCTTGGTGGGAGACCAACTGCTAGTGGGCCCGAGTATTATCAAGAAACTGCCAAGGATATAAAAATGACCTGAGAAACCAGGTAATCACGACAGTAGAGAATAACAGAAACTAGTCATGATAGCGTCCTTAGAATGCAAGATTGGTCTTGGCATTTTTTAAAAAGGCTCCACACTTAAAAAACCAGTTGGTCATCAGTAACTTCAGAGAAAGAAATGTAGCTGACATCATGGCAATGCTCAGCTTACCAGGATGTATCAGCCCTTCATTTAATACTCCAGTACAAGAAGCCTAGTAGAAAGTTCAGATTCTTTAAAAATCTACGTTGGCTTATGTTCTGTAATAATTTTAGAGCTTTTATTCACATCAGCCTTAAAAATTAACGTGCATGCATCCAAACTAACGGTGACATTCCCCCTGCCCTCTCCCCTTTTCTTCACAAACACAGTACCTTATTCTTAAATGCTTCTACCACTTTCATAAGAAGTTGGATCTTCTTTCCCAAGTCATTCAAAGCTTTTGGTCTCTCTTCATGTTCTACGTATCTAATTTGAATAGGCTGGCCAAATTTCTGTCAGCAAAAGAGGAAAAAAAAAACAAGCACGTTTGAGGCTTTAAAAACAGCAATGATGTGGCACGGTCACACAGAGGGCGCGTCAACGTCAACGACACGACGACAAAGCCTCTCGATACATGACAATTGCTTCTTCTGGTCTTGGTGGTTGGTCCCTCAAGGAAGTCCTTGGCCAAAGACCACGATATTCCCTACGAGGAAAACGCTCAGCAACTTTTGTTTCTAAGACATCATTCCACCAATCCAATCAGAAGCCAGGGTCCAGAAAATTAACTGCCCAGAATTTCCATCTGCAGTAATACACGATGTGCTTTTGAACAGAAGCAAAATATGCTGAGAGTGCAAACTGCTTTTAAACAGCCAGAAGAACAAAAATCCCAACCAAGAGACATTAAGATGAATCTATCCCACTGCACTCAAGACATAATATACTGTACTAGAAAAAAACCTGCAATTAAAGCTGCAGCTCTAGGTCTATCCTTGGCTAAGAAATAAGCAAACGATATAATACAAAGTTAAAAAACCCTTTAAACATTCCTCTCAGAGTTGTATGCCTCCATATAAGGTCCAAGAAGCCATTACAAGTCTCAGCTCTGTAGCCTAGAATTCTTATTCAAACTTTGTTTTAGGAAAAGAATGCAAACTTGGAAGTTCAACTAAAATATATCCAAAGAAAGGTCCAATAAGATGGGTAAACTGCTCTAGACAATCTGTCATACCAGAAGCAGAACACTGAAATCCTGCAGCCTTTCCAATGTGCTCTGCAGAACTCTGTGTAAACGACAAAGATCCCGCAAAAATACAGGGTGTGTACTTAAAAAAAAAAGATCCTGCAAGGAATGACTTGAACTACCAAGATTCTATGCTTTATTTAAATGATTCCTTCTCCCCACAACCTTCACATGTTCTCCCTGCTTCCTTCCAGTCTTTCCCTCTGGCCACATAAGCTGCCCCAAAGCTGCCTACAGCCCAGGTCTGACCTAAGTCCTTCTCCAGCTGCCAATCCTTCAGGCGCTCCCTCTAGGATCACCCCCAGGATAAACAGCCGACTCCTCAGCCTGACATTTCGTGCCCTCCATCCAAGCTGCAGAGCGCTTCCTGTGCCCTGCCGCTCCGACGTTGTGGTGGACACAGCACTGCACCCGGAGTCACAAGACCCAAGTTCAGAGTCAGCCTCAGACACATACAGTTGTATGACCCTGGCACCTGTCACTTGCCTCAATTTCCTTATCTGCAAAATGGGGATAATAGCATCACCTATCTCTCAGGATTGTGGTGAGAATCAAATGAGATAATATTTGTAAAGCACTTAACACAGTGCCTGGCGATTATAAACATTCTATGCGTTTACTGTTATTTTCCTCTCACATGGAAGTCCTTTAAGAGCAGAGGCTTGTTTTTGTACTCCTAACCCTCACTGTAGCGCATTTCAGAAAAATATTTACTGAATTTTCCCTGTAGAAAGCAAGGCAACCTGTATTATATCATTAGTCTTAAAAAGAAAAGGATATCAACCTTTTGCTGCTTTTCAATGTGACTAAAGAAAAATTCCCTCTTCATTTCTGCTGCCTGCCCACCAATACTGTTCAAGCCGCGTCCACGCCCAGTGAAGCAGCACACAAAATGCACAATTTGTTGCACACACCCTGTTGTTGCTGACACATCCCAAGTCCACTCCCTTTGTGCACACTTGCCTCAGAAGGCAAGGAAGTTGGGCTGACTGGGACAGCTTCCCTGCCTCTATGAGAACAGAAAAGGTCAATTCAACAGGCATTTATTAATTCTTAATAGGTGCAAAGTATCATACTCGGAGTGGGAAAAACCAAGCTCAAACCCCAACAGCAGCTGAAGGTGCAATCCGACGAAAAGCAGCCATCTAGTGAAAGTTTTGCTTCTGGTCCCCCCGTCACTGGCCTCAGGTCCTCTCATCTATCTGCCTCTAAGTCTTCCATTTGCCCTAGGCATTTTCAGAGTTCAGATTTCAACTCAAGGCTTAGCCACAACCTTGTCTAAAAGTCAGTGTACTGCGCAACGCTATTAAAAAACAAAAGACCCACTCGAAACAGCACTGTGGGCAGGGGGCAAAGTGCTGGGCCGTCCTCACCGTGACTCAATCCTCACACAGACAAGACTGGACTCCCAGTGAAAGACTCCTTCCACCAATTCAAGGCACATGCTCTGAGCCTTGAAGAGGGAGGTGACTTGCCCAGGGTCATTCAGCCAAGATGGGTCAGGCTCCCCACCCCCAACTTCCAGGCCAGAGCTCTATCTACCATGTCATCATGCTCTCTCTGTCTCTACACACTGCAATCATTCGTGGCCTAAAGACAGTATCACCTTTAATTCTTGAAGTTTATCCACGTAAATTTGTTTTGGCTGATCTTCGCCATCTTCATAAAGCCAATTTTCAGTATCTTCCAACATTGAAGACAGTTTACTTGAATCCTAGGACCAAATTTAAGAAAAAACAGATTGAAAATATTCCTTGGAAATTCCTTGGCAATCTCCCTCCCACCCATAAACCACAGAGAAGGCAAATTGTAACGCCTATGTCATTTTTAAGGTTTTACAAATGGTGCTTTCACATAAGCCCACCATTAACAAAGAAAATGGGCTGATACCACGGGGTCAGCGGCAATGGGGCCATTATGATTTCTGGCATAGCTGCTGACAGACAGATCCTCCCTGCAGAAAGGTCTGAGGAAGAGTCGGAGTCAATGTGCCTTCTCCGACACAATCTAGCAGACTTTTGCTTGGAGGAAAAGGGTTGCTATTCTCACTCTCCCAGACTTAGTTCTGTCTCAGCCTGGACCCAGGACCGAGGATTCTGACTTGGGGTTTCTCCTTCTAATCAAGTTGGCTCCAAAGAGGCGGACCAAACTAGTCCCTGAGACTCTGACTCCATCCAAAGGCCCTTATCTGAGCTTGTCATTTGCTGTCCTCTCCACAGAAGGGCTGCGTCTCACACCCACAGCCTGGAGCTTGTCACCCAGACCCCATAAGCAGCCTGCCTACTCTCCCCTCCCACAATTTGGATTTAGAATCTTAATTAAATATGAACATAATCAAAGTTTCTTGGCTAAGTGGTTGGTTTACAAATAGGTACTTTTTAGAAACTTAAAAGAAGTTAAAACAGCTTTAAAAAAAAAAGAAAAAAGGAACTTAAAAAAAGCTGTACTCTTACTTCTGCAGTGACAAATTTTTCATAGACATTGCATAGCTTGTCTCTGAAATCATACACATACTCTTCCACAGCATTCTTGGCATCATTTCTTTCTTTCTCTAATTTGTCCTGCATGATCATCTTTCCCTAGTCAAAAAAAATTACCAACAAAAGCTCTATTTCAGTACTCATTTAACAAAATACAAATATTCTTTAAAAAAAAATTGAAAACTTGTCTGGACTAGTCTCCTTTCACTCCTATAAGCGAAAAGGCCCAGGCAGACAACATTTTGTGAACACATGATTCCTTTACAAATTACCATTCATTCAATGAGAAGTAACATGATAAAAAACAAAAGTGCCAATAAATTATCAAATCCTATGAAGGACATGTTATACAACATAGTTAAGGAAAACATAAGGTAAGGGCTTCATATTTCAACTAATTTATTCTTGCTAATGAAACTGGTGAAGGGCTCCAAGTGCATGTAAATTTTGTGCTCTGGGGAAAAGCCCAATGCTAGTCATGTCTTTTGGAAATCTCCTAAGCTATCTTCTCCTTTGGTGCCATTGTCAGTGAAAATAACAGATATTAGATTGTAAGCTCCTTGAGAGCAGGGACTGTCTGTCTTTAAAAAAAATTGAGAGAAAAAAACATAAAGTAAAAAATGATATTTCAATCTGCACTCAGTTTATCACTTCACTCCCTGGAGATAGACGGACTTTTTCATCCTGGGTCCTTTGGAAATGTCCTGGATCACTGCCAAGTCTTTCATAGTCATCATCCTTACAAAACCGCTGTTGCTGTGTACAATGCTCTCCTGGTTCGGCTCACATCACTTCGTATCAGTTCACATAAACCTTCCCAGGTTTTCCTGAAAGCATCCTGCTCGTCATTTCTTACAGCACAATAGTATTCCATCATAATCACATACTACAACTTGTTCAGTTCTGCTATTCCCCAAATTTCCAATTCTTGTGCCACTACAAAGAAAGCTGCTATCCATATTTTTGCACGTATAGGTCCTTTGTGGGGATACAGATGTGACTGGTAGTGAAGTATTGCTGGGTCAAAGGCCCACTTTTACAGCCCTTTGGGCATAGGTCCAAACTGTTCTCCAGAACAGCTGGACTAGTTCATACCTCCACCAACAATGGATTCATGTCCCTATTTTTCCACAGGGGTTTGTCTTTCTTTTTCTTGACCGTGTCCCCAGTGCTTGGCACATTAACAAACGTATTTATTGGATTGGTCGTCTTGACTTAATCACTATTAATTTTTTGAGTTCTTTTGCCATAACAGAGCACAGACGAACTTTCTTGAAAGTAGGACAAAATATACACATGATTAAAAAACAAATCTGAAAAACAAATCCTTCAAAACATATTTACATAGTCCAGCAAAATAAATTCCCACATTAGCCATATCTGAAGCTCCGGGGCTTTGCATTCATTTTAAGTTCAATACTTCTCTGTCAGAAGCTGAGTAGCATATGAAACATACTATGGTCAGCCAGCTTTAATATTATATAAGAGTGCATGGCGATGGCTTTGCAATCAGGAGACCTGAGTTCAAGTGCTACCTCTGCCATATACTGGGGTTGTATGACCCCAGGCAAATTTCTTAACCTCTAGGTGACCGGGTGACTCTCCCAGATCATAAATTACAGACAGAGGGCAAAACTGTAGTAGTTGAGGAAATTCCATAGAATCATACATAGACTTGGGCTGGAAGGGACCTGAGAGGTCACTGAGCTCAACCTCTTCATTTTACAAATGAGAAAACGAAGCCCAGATAGTTTCAAATTACTTGACCCAGGTCACACTAGTAAATATCAGAAGCAGGATTTGAACCCCGATCTTCCTGACTCGTAAGTCCAGCACCTGCATTCTCTTATCTCAATGTTCTCTTTTCCAATGAAATCAAAGGTCCCAGCTCCTATCTCTAAACATTATACAGGACGCTCCCGACCTCCAAGAACTTCACTGATGGGAATTCAGAATATAATGTCTCTTCTGCCTATACTGTACCTACAATAGCTTAACGTACCAGTGGTCCTAGTACTAGGGCTGATTTCCTTCCCAGGATTGATGCTGTTCTACATCAAGGGTTATGTCTTCTCTCATTAGATTATAAGCTTCTCGAGGGCAAGGACTGTCTTTTTTTTTTTAATTTGCATCCTAGTGTGCTTGCTTAGCACAGTGCCTAGAACACACTAGGCACTTAATAAATGTTTGCTAACTCAGGGACTTCTTAAAAACAAGACAATATATTTACTGTATGTATCATATTATATAGAGCAGCGCTTCTTAAACTATGGGTTGTGACCCCCCCCAGTTTAAAAGCACTGTAGGGGCTGCACGTGGTAAAAAGTTTAAGAAGCCCTGATATATAGTACATATTTAGCTAAATTTTTCTAAAAAATGAAAATTTAAGCACTCTGTTCAACATTTAGCAATTAAACTTTGTTAAACAGTAACCTTAAATAAACAAACTTCATAAAAAAATTCCGAGTTAAAATTCTATAAACCGACAACTCTGGTACTACTCCCAAGAACACCCACCTCATTTTCTATATAACTGTTGATGAGATCCTGGCCCAGCTGTCTGTACAGGCTACTTTGGACGGGCAAATCGATGCTCTTGACTTTTCCTTTTTTAACATTCTGGTTTGCTCGCTCTTGCTTGTCAGAAGGCGCTGGCTGTGGAGAGCAATGTCATATGAAAAAATATCCACCTGAGTCCTGCCTAAGCAAAGAAATAACCTTGAGCAGAGAGTACAACCTATAGAAGAGTAGCTAAGTTTTCTTTAAACTGGAAAATACCACATCACTTAAAACCCTCCCAGCAATACTGCAGCATCTGTTTTAAGACATTTATTTGTTTGTTTCTTTATACAGATGTCAAACCGAAACACACCAACAAGAAATATTCTTCCCAAGGGCAGCTAGGTGGCACAGTAGATAGAGCTCTGGCCTTGGAGTCAGGATGACCTGAGTTCAAAACTAGCCTCAGATACTTCACACTTAACTAGCTCTGTGACCCTGGGCAAGTCACTTAACCTCGACTGCCTCCCCAAAAACAAAAACAAAAGAAAGAAAAAAAAAACAACATTCTTCCATCTCTACATCTTTCAGTTAACTTTCTCAGTTCCAAGTTACAGAGAAGGTGTCAATAATCTGTTTGGGTAAAAAAAATGTTCCTTACTGGGAGTTCTCTATGTCCAAAAAATCATGGATAGATAGATAGATATAATCTGAGCTTTGCAGCACCGCTCCCCAAATCCCAACACTTAACTTGACATTGTATTGCATAAACTACATAGATTACCTACTATTAAAATAATCAGAAAAAATGCAATATTTTGGAAACATATACTCAAATTTTACATTGCAATGAGGAACCAAAGCGAGTACATAATTATAAAATAGAATTCTATTTCCTTTCCTTTTATCATCACTGAAGAGCATCACTTCTAGAAAATTTTAATTATACTGTTTCATTATTTTCTTAATATATTTATAAAAATAAAAAGTGGTTATGATTTATTCTTGCTAAACCTAAATTCAGTCTCAACTGAAAACCATGCTGCATAAAAAATATATTATTGGTTCATAGTTCTAAATGTTCATTGTATTGTATACAGACAGGATAAAAAGCAAACCTTTGTCTTGGCACCCGTGTGATCAATTTCCTCCTCTGGGGTATGCTCAGCGTGGCCTTTTTGATGGCCTTCTTCTTGGTCAACTTGCATTTTGTCCTAGGAAGGAGGTATGTAAAAATGGACAGGATATATTGCTGCAAGGGTGACTTTTTCTTTTCAAAGCAATATCATTAGGTCCTTATGACATTCAAAAAGACTTCAACAGAGGATTGGTCAGGTAGATGCTACACTTTATTTAATATGTGTTTTTTGGAACAACTACAGCTACAGAAAAAGATTAAAGGTGGCAGAAGAAGCAAATGACAGAGCATGCCTACACTGTGGCAATAACCTGATGACCCATTCATTTGAGATCATTTAAGAGTGCCTTAAAAAGAAAGCCAAAAGCTGCCCACGAGCCCAATGTCCACACCACCGTATACCAACAAGAGTAAAAGGCGGGCAGGCACCCCCACTATTCAGGCGTTCAGATTACACTTGGAAATATACAATGTGGAAAATGGGTCTTTTCAGCAAGTCCCCACATAGTCCAAAGAGAGCTGAAACACGACCCAATGCAAACTAGCCTCTGTCCAGTGAGGAGGCCAGCACTGACTGACTGATGTGATTCTCCAAGGATGTGGGGGTATACTCTACCATTCTCCTTGGGAAAAGGAGCAGCAGCAGAGGGAAAACAATTAAAATGAAATTAAGGAGAATAAATTTCAGTTGTGTGTGTTTTTTTTTTAAGATGACAATACAGTTATCATTATGGTGTAATGGAAACAAAGAATTGTTTGAGTGGGAGGGTCAAGGAGCTTAGAATCTAAACCCACTCTAATTCTTAACCAGCTCTGACCTTCTTCATCTTGAGCATTTTTCCACCCACCTCTGTCTCCTTCACTGCCAGGCATTCCTCCCACCAGTTAGCCACCTTCTCTGTGCCCTCTTGCTCTGGTCATTTCCTTCACTCCTCCAGGCGCCATTATGTTTCTTAATGGGACCACCATTTCTTCTCTCATCTACCCACCACGAAAATGCTGTGAGATTACACTGGACTCTTCCTCATCCCTCACTTACCATCTCCTTTGTCACCAAATCCTGTTCATTTTTACAAGCATAGTCTCACTTGCGTATCCTCTACGGCCTGCCGATATCCTGGTCATCCACCCTGCCCCTCGCTTTCACTACAGTATCTCACAGCTTTCTCACCTCCACATTCTCTCCCACTGACCCATTTTCCACACCACCACCAGACTAACCTCTTACCTTATTGGACCATGCCATGTGGCTCATCTCTCTGAGACCACCCTCCTTTGCCTGGTATTTAAAGCACTTCATAACCTGGCACTACCTGACTTCTTATATTTCTTGACCCACACTTACTGCTCCTGTCAAAGTTGACCACTTTCTGCTAAGGCGTAAAGGCACCTTTCGAGCTCTCTTTAGAATTCAAATAGCCTCTAATCTCATTACTTCATGACATAAGTTATTTACTCCAGTCAAGGAAATTCACCAGCAGGCAACTTGTTTGGTGACTCGGCTTTGGAATTTTATGCCATATACAGTTACTATGTCTAAAATACAGATTAAAAAAAACAACAAAAACCCTGGGGTAGAGTTGTACTTCATCTTGAATTTAAATGTATGTAACACTGCTTACATTTTAAATGTTTGTATTTGTTTGCTCTGCTGTTATCACTACAGGAAAACCTCTATTGCAAAAGCAGTTGCCACCAGGGGTTCATGAAATAGGACTATCTCAAATGCTAGCCTTATGAAGATCCTGGACTCCAAATCCCTTTAGAACCTATCTTAGACACACGTCATCGTGAAGACTTATTCAGAATATTAATAGCTAGCACTTATATATATGCCAGGCACTGTGCTAAGCACTTTACAAATATTTTCCTCACTTGATCTTCACAACAGACCCTGGAGGTAGGTGTCATTATTACGAATATATACCTTATAACTGAAGAAATCGAGGCAAATGGAGGTTAAATGACTTGCCCAGAGTCACTCAGCTAGGAAGTATCTGAGGACCAATGTGAACTCGGATCTTCCTGACTCCTGGTCCAGCGCATTCTCCAGTGAGTCACTTAGCTGCTCTTAACCTTAGCATGTATTTCACTTACTACATAAAATTTCATTCATTTGCTCTTACAAAGGGCACTTCCTTAAATCTTTTTCCTGTAGGAATTGTGAACGAGAGAATAAAGGAGCTGGAAGGTAAGTGTTACTCTATTTTCTTCTATCTCCTCACAGTGCTTTGTACAGAGAGGCCACTCAACACTCCTTTAGAAGCAATGCCAGTTAAAAACAGAATGCTTTTCCAAGGTCACTGAGGTAGAAATTGCCCTTACTTGGTATACAGGAAACCAACTCAACACCTGGCTAAATCTAGTCAAATCAAGCCAAGCACCAATCAATCAATCAATTAATTAGTTTGTTTGTTTTAGGCAATTGGGGTTAAGTGACTTGTCCAGGGTCACACAGATAGTCAGTGTGAAGTGTTTGGTCTGACGCCAGTTTTGAACTCAGATCCTCCTGGCTTCAGGGTTGGTGCTCTACCCACTGCGCCACCTAGCTGCCCCTTCAACAAGCATTTATTAAGCACCAACTATGTTCCAGGCTCTGTGCCAAGTGCTGGGCATACAAAGAAAGCTTAAAAACAGCCCCTGCCCTCAAGGAACGCACAGTCTAATGGGGAAGACAACCTGCAAACTACCACGTACAAACAAGATACAGATGGGTAAGTTAGGATGGTCAGAGAGCAGCCATCAAGGGGAACGGCGAAGGCTTTCTGCAGGAGGAGGGATCTTAACTGGCACTGCACGACAGCCCAGCGCATTCCAGGCAAAAGCCAGGAGGCCGGGGGCACCAGGCCCAGCGAGGAAGAGCTGCCCTCAGCACACGCTGGCGCGAAAAGCCGCTCATTTTTAAGCGACCCCGACCACGTGATGCTGAAGGAAGGGAATCCGGCAGAGGTGACGGAGCGCAGGCACTACGTGCATTTCGCAGCAGGACAATCCCTCCTCTTTTCAGAAGTCACCTGGACAAGCGGGGGAGGCATCAGGGCAGGAGAGTGCAGGGGGGACTCGTGTTCACAGAGAAGAGACTTCAGCATTAATCATTAAAGGCTAAGTTACATGCTCTGCCCTGTGCTGAAGAAGCAAGGCGAAAAAAATTCTAATGCAGAAAGGGATAAACATCTCTTACCTGCAAAAAAAAAAAAAATCACTTTGGAGGCCGACCACCTTCGTCCCTCAGCAATGCTGAAAAAATGACTCTAGTGCCTAAGAGTTTTTCAGCGGCCTCATGCGGTCCTGTGTATCCACTTTTTCTTTTTAAATGGACATACTAGGCAAACATGGGCATTTCCACAAACCAAGGAAAAGAGAGAGCTGTATATGGGACTCAAGTTCTCATCATGTGTGACTTCTTTTTCTAACCTCAACACCACACTGACATGAGGTGGCGTGACATGACATGCCTACACGGCCCCGCTGTCCTCTGCCTCCTCCAGGACTGATTGGCTTTTTTTCTTTTTGCCCCACTTTATATTTTAAGGTCAGGAGACACCAGAGGCACAGAGAATGGAGAAGGTCCAGAATGCAGGCAGGGGGTTAACTTTAAAAATGCGTAGATATTATTTTATCATCATGTTCTCTGTTATACACCTGCATTAGAACTGCTCTTTTTTCCCCCCAAATAAAAGATAAATTTAAATAGCAATGGGTAGAAACCGCCCATTCTAGAATGGAAGGAAGAGCAAAAGGAAAGTCTTGAGAATTTAAAGACAAACAAAAAACCCCCAAAATGGAAACCCTACAAAATGGGCACCTTTGTTCTCTCCTCTGAAGACGCACATCCAAGCCTCTATCATTCATTATAGCTCTTGTGGCCCGAGGCTATGCTCGATGCCAAGAGTTCATGCGCACGGACACTGGCCATCTCTCTGGACTGTCTCACCTCCCTCTCGTCCACCTCTTACCCTGGCAACAACAACTAAATGCACTTAAGACTCCTAGAAACTCCCAGTCACAGGGCCTTTGACTCCACCCACCACCTCTGTGACTTCCCAGACAGGTGGCCTGGCTGCCACCTTCCTTCCCCATCTGCATTACCTTTTCTTTTCCCCCCTTTTTCTGGTGAGGCAATAGGGATTAAGTGACTTGCCCAGGGTCACATAGCCAGTAAGCGTCAAACGTCTGAGGCTGGATATCTATCCACTGCACCACCTAGCTACCCCTAGGCTTCCACTTTTTTGGAGGGGTGGGGTGGGTGTGTGTGTGTGTGTGTGTGTGTGTGTGTGTGTGTGTGTGTGTGTGTGTGTGTGTGTGTGTGTGAAGCAATTGGGGTTAAGTGACTTGCCCAGGGTCACACTAGCAGTAAGTGTCAAGTGTTATGTGTCTGAGGCCACATTTGAACTCAGGTCCTCCTGACTCCAGGGCCCGTGCTCTCTCCACTGCACCACCTAGCTGCCCCCATCTGTGTTATCTTTGCCTATATTGTCGTTGCTAAGGTGACAGGATTGTGCTGCTTTCTGCCCTCGTATGAATCTGTCCAGCACTTAGGACAAGGCCTGGCACACAGGATGAGCTGAATAAATGCGCTTCCATTTCTTCCAGGTCAGAGATCAATGTAACACAGGTCTCATTACATGGATTCTGAGACAGTTCTAACTAAGAGCTATTTTTCATTAAAATTTAACAGGATTTATCTGTTAAAATATTCATGGACAATTCTAATAGTACAAAGCCCAAACTTAACATAATTTCCTTTTGTATTGGCAGGATCATAGATACATTTTTAAAGGATGCCAGTCAACTCTAATTTCTCATTTTTAATGTCTACCTTAATTTTAGGCCTCAAATTTTTGTCTTTAAAAAGGAAACCAAAGAGATATAGATATATATAGATATATCTATATCTCAAATAGTAAGAAAACCATTAATTTTAAACAAATTAAAGGAGTTCGATAAATGTGGAGAAATGATTATGAAAGCTTCCAACCAGAAGTAGTTCCTATCAAAAAAAATCCAATTTCCAACATTACATAGGATACTCATCAGAATGAAAAGTCATTAAATTTAGACAGTGATTCTCGAGTGAAAAGTAAGCATAACTTGGGGCCTGCTAAGAGGATGCATCCTACAAACAGGTTACCAGTAAGTAAATCACAGTAGGCTGGGCACTAATGCACCCTTGAAAAGTGTTGGAGCAGGCCTCAGATACTTCACTCATCTGCATGGCTTTCACTTCTGAACTTTACTAAGTGCCAGAGACTAGGTTACTAGACCAGTTTTCTGGTGCAAGCAGATCAGGAAAGAAAAAGGCCGAGGTCCTCAGATGAAAGCAATCGTTTAAAGTTGAGCCTAAGCGATGCCCTGCAAGGGTGAGAGGCGGCATCTTTCTGCACAACTGATGTCCCTCAAGGGAGGCACTGGTCCTTGGTTTAGGGTTTGTTAATAACAGCAAAATAAACAAAAACGTGATCCTTAAAATGGAAGGCCCATTCTAAACACTTACATTCAAGATGAAATACAAATCAACAAATGTGAAAAAACTGAACTTTAGTCCTAGTAACTTTACACAGCGAAAAAACCCCAAGCTAATTCCTCCTCACCCTAACAATTGTTTCAAACTAGGAATACCAAAAAGCTATTTCAATTTATTTAGCACACATCTAAGAAATACGAATAAATCAAATGTTAGTCTACACATGTCTACACATGTGCTTCAGCATTAATCACTTTGAATGAACCACATTTATTATGGAAGCTAAAAAACTAGCTCATGATAAAGCACGTTGTTTTAGAAGTTGTCCTTAGGGGGAAAAACCAGCTATGGTCACAATATATGGGATGTGGAGCGAACAATCTACCACTTCAGAAGAACAATACATCATCCCCTAAAAAAGTCTTAACGTTTTGAAGATACTGTTACCTGGTCATTCTTATAGGCAGAGAAATTCTGCAAACTTTCAGCTCAATACTTCAAAATTCAGACTCTAAATAATGTTATCTCAAATAGATTGCTTTTAAAATACTAAAGTATCGTTTATTACTATGACACTAGAAATATCGTCTAATATAGGAGTGTGGAAAGGGCATTATTACATACCATCTCATCTTTGCCTTCATTCTTAAATGATGACTCTGTTTCCATAGGTATATCACTGTGATCCCCTTCCAAACTCTGCTTCTCAATTACCGATGCACTAGCCACACTGAAGATACCATGGATATTAACACGTACTTTAACCTTCACTTTGGAACTGTCACCATCAGACTGGGGAAAAACATTCTGAATAGTGAAGTTCCCTTCAGGGAAAAGAAGGTTATAAAGCTTTGGTCATAATGCGTTTAAAATTCTAACATGTCTTAGGATGACTCTGCAATCAACACAACATAGTCTGAGTTATTATTATTCAAAAACAACGCCCTGAAGATGGTAAATATTACAATCCTGGTATCCCACAAAGGCTTACAGATTCTAAAACGGTCAATGTAAGGCATGGAAAGAAAATCAAGAGAAGCCATCCCCAAATCTTAACATCTCTACCATTACAGGATGGCTGGGTTTAAATGAATTACTAATCCTACAGAAACAACCCTGTTTTCCACGTTTAAATACATTCATTTTCTATTCTTCTATTTAAAATTAGAATGGGAGAAGACTATAGCCTAGTTAGCCAAATTAGTTACGAAAAGGCTTTGGTCTGAAAAGCCAGGTCCCACTGTTCCAAACCCTCCTTTTTAAGGGGAAAAAACATTTCTCACGTTGCTCCCTTAAAACTTTCTATCCAAAGTACTAATAAAAACTCAAGGCTTTTTCCATTCTATTTTGTGGCGTAATTTAAGATAACATTATTTCAAAGCAGCAAGCAATGAGCATGTCTTAGGTATCACTTGGTCATAGATTTGTAAATATGTTAATATTAATTCTCCACTGACAACAGGTTTATACTAAATTTTCTTCACCGAAAATCATTATGACAGCATTTGAAATTTATTGTTATTTGATATTTTTGCTTCGATCAACCAATATCTCTTCAACAGCAAACAAACCTCCTTAAGCCAAAGATTTCCTCAGTTTATAATTTTACAGAAAGGAGGGTTACTGTGACCTTCACCCATATGTTTACAACAGTGACCACGGTATTTGACCAGTTCAGTGTGTTTTCCATGCTGACTTTTTTTGCATCGTTAGAGTATGTATTTTCTCTGACTTTGCTTTCTGCATTCGGGCATCTCCTCTATCACATGGAAACGAGTATCCCCGTGGTTTTCTGAACTCTTTATCTAGTCACCCTTTGTTTGGTGTAATTATATTCCATGACATTCATGTATCATGATCTGAGGGTACATTTTGTCTCCAGTTTTTTCCTTAAAATAATAATATGAAAATGTTTGCACGCCAATCTTTTCTCGTATCTGCAACCTCCTGTGAACACAGGCCCAATATTGGAATCTTGGCATCAAACAATTTAGCTCTGGGCATGAACAGCTTAGGGACTTTTGTGAAACGATTCCTAATCATTTCGCAGAACTGTTGAGCCAATTCATAACTCCACCAATAGTGAATTACCATGAACTATCAGCAACCTGGATAGCATGGACTTGAGATGACGTCTCAGGTTTTTAAAAGTTGCATTTCTCTGTTTATTAGCAACTTAACACGTCTTTACAGGTGGTTATTGATGAGGTTTGTACTTTTTTTGAAAACTTTCTAACTATCTTTTTGTCTAAAGGGGAAATGGCTTAATCATAAATTTTGTGTCACTTCCTGATTTTAGATGTCATACTTTATCAGAAATACTAAATTCAAAGTTTTCTTTCTCAATCCACATGTTTCCTTTTAATTCTATCTGTACTGATTTTATTTGGGCAGAAACAACTTTAAAAAAGAAAAACCTCCAATTTTCCTCCTTACTGTGACTTTTTAATATTTGGATTACCTACGTGGAATTTACCTTGTTTTATGTTGTATGATGCTGTTTTAAAATCTACTTTAAACCCTATCTGAAGTTTACATAATTAAAAAAGTACCAAGACTATCACTCTTTCCAAATACTGTCTGTCAAGTCATACTGTCTATTTCTTCACTTTCTAGTCATGCGAAGGGCACAGCTGAAAACGACGGCTACAGGGCCTTAAGCTCATTAATCTTACCTGCAGGAGTTAGGGTTAGGGTTAGATTACAGGTACTGTTTCTGTCCTAATCAAACGGTACTTACCCCAGATGCTGCTAAGCACAAGGCTGAAGTGAGGGGAGAGGGAAGAGTGTTAAAAATGTCTAAATTATAAGAAAGCAAATTCTGCTCTTGGGTAAAACAATACCACACAACTAACTACCTGACTGCAGCACCTCACCTACTTTTTAGCTGAATGGTTTCTAAAAGCGAGGATATTTAAACAGGCTCAGACACAAGCAAATTAAAAACTATTCACAAAGGGATTCAGATAACCTAAGCTAACCCAACACATTTTATGTACAAATATCATCTACTTCCTCAAAAAGAGTAAACAAAACAAAAATGCCCAGTGAACTCCATCTAAGAAATCCGTACTAACTCACTTTATTTTGTAAAGGGAGATAGTGTGCGGAACCCCGCATAAGCCGTAAGGCTCCACTGAAGGGTGAAGTTTTACTGACTGCTTTTAATTCTTTGTGGCAGGGGTTGGATTTGGGCAGCGAGGTAAAGGCATACACTCAGAAATAGAGGTGATGTAAAAACAGAAGCTACCATCAATATTTAAACAAAAAGGACACAAAATAAAATCTTCTTAAAGGCAGAAAGGACTTAAGTTAAATCTATGAGAGTTTCAGAGCCCTGGACCAGATCAATTTCAACCTATCAATCATAATGTAAAAATTTTCTCTTTTTTTATAAATACCATCCTCTCGAATTCTCTCTTACCAATTCGGGGATCAGGATAAGGCACTTCATATGGATGGGTATAATATGCTTCTAGTTCAAACGGTTCCTTCTTGTGAAAGGTAATAACTTTTGAGAATGGAGCAGGATGGTTCTTACAGAACACTTCACATTCCCTAAAGAAAAGAAAATAACTTTTTCTTTAGGTTAAATGACAGATGCCTAGAGTCACAACCATAGAAACACTTACATTTTAAACTTTAATAAGTGTAGAGCCACTGCAAATACCTACAATTATAATAATCACAAACTGAAAGACAATACTAGATAAATGATATCAGCCAATGTCTATCTGAACATTAATACCTTCCTGAAACAAGGAACAGACTGATCATCACATACAAGATGAAGAAACAACCTAAACATAAATTGTGTCAACAGCAAATTCTATACCACAACTACCAACCCTTCTTCCTTCTCCACTTCCACCCCACCCAGACCAACCAACTAGTCCCCAAGGTGTTAGGATCATAGCTTAAAAAAAAGTCTTATCATGAATACCATGTTGTAATCGTGAAACATCAAATCTCCAACTACAAAACAGAAAAAGAACTGCACGTAAAACTGAACCACCCCTGCTCTGCACAGCTGGTTTTGCTAAATAGCTAGCCCTTGTATTGAGCCTCGAGGTTTGCAAAGCACTTTACACGTGTTATCTCACAAAATACATCACAAAAACCCTGCTGAAGAAAGTGCTTTGATTACTTCCACCTTACAGATAAGGAAACTGAGCCAGGCAGAGGTGAGGAGACAGGGTTATCCGGCTAGCGTCTAAAAGATTCAAATTCAAGTCTTCTCCCCTCCAAATCTAACACTCTGCCACTTCTCACCTTACTTCTACTACCTCCTTCTGTATATTAAAAAAAGTTTCATCTACAACCACTAGGGGGTGGGGGGGAGCATCACTTCTTCTATTTGCAGGATTGTAACACTGTAGCAGGACAGACATTCAATATAACTTAATCCAACACCCTCATTTTAAGATGGGGAAAAAGCAAGTTGAGAAAAAGGGCGTGGCTAAAGGACTGCTAGTGGGCAGTGGATAAGGGCAGCAGTACGAAGTAAGGGAAGTTCCATGCCTTCCTGACTACCTAACAAAACCTCAAACTGATCTGGACAATACAGAATCCAGACTGGGAAATCCAAGGCCGGTGGGGGATTAGAAGATAATCACAGTGAGTCAGTTTCCCCACCCAAGTTTACAACAGGAGACAGACAGACAGGTCTGAAGATACTAGGGCAGGGTCTGTCCACATTGTAACTTAGCACAAGAAGTACAAAATCTTGCCTAAGCATCAAACCCCCCGAAAATTGGAATGGACCAAATAGAAGCCAAAGTAAAAAAAAAAAGAAAGAAAGAAAAAAAAAAAAAAAATATAAAGCATCTCACAGCAAAAACAACTGGCCTAGGAAACAAAAGAGAAGGAATTTAAGAATCTCTGTATACCTAAAAGCCATGATTCAAAAAAAAAAAAAGGCCTAGATATCCTATTTCAAGAAATCCTAAAAGAAAACTTCAGAAATCTCTTAGAAGCAAAGAGAAAAGTGGAAATCCAGAGCTTCCAGGTCAAGGAAAAAATGCTACAAGCAGGCAGAAAGAAAAGATCTGAGGTACTAAGGAGCCACAGTAAGGCTCACACAAGATGTAGCAGCCACCACTATAATGGAGTAAAGAACTTGGAATACGACACTCCAGAAGGTAAACAATCTAGGTTTACAACCAAAAATAACTTACTCAGCAAAACTGAGCAAAGAATGAATTTTCAAAACAGGAGTTCCAAGCATTCCTGATGAAGACCAAAGTATGCACAAACTCTGAAGTGTAAACACAGGTGTCTTCAAGAAGTAAACAATGAAAAGAGACTAAATAAGATGAAACTGCTGACATTCTAATTTTGGGAGAGCACACACGTCATCATCAGGTCCACAGAGGGCATCTAATCAAACAAGGCTTAGGATTAGTTTTGTTATTATCTTCATGATCTTAATAGAAAAAAAAAAAGGAAGAGGAATGGAGGAGGCAGGGGGCAGGGAAGGATGTGAGAGACAGGGATGTTGGGGAATACTGTCTCACATTTTCAGGATGCCCAAATAGAAGGCTATACATACAAGCAGTACAGAGTGGGTGACACTTGAACCCTCCCTCTCATTTGAACTGGTCAAAGGAAGAAAGCATATACACACGTTTGGTACATAAATACACGTCACTCAACAGGAAAAGGAGGAGGAAAAGAGAAGGGAGAATGAGAAGGATGGGAGATTAAGTGAGGGATATGTCCTAAATAAAACTGAGGTGTGGCTGAGCAAGTAACAGGGAACCACTGAAGTTTACTAAACATGGTCAGACCTGAGCCTTAGGAAATTATCTGTGCAGCTGGGTGGAAGATGATACAGACAATGGAAAGCCTTGAGAAAAGCAGATTAAGAGGCTGTTGCAACAGTCTAAGTGAGATGTGATCAGAGCCTGACCTAGTTTGCTAGTTCTGAGAGCAAAAACAGAAAGGAGAGATGTAGAAGGAAAACGACAAGATTTGGCAAGGGACTGGTTATGCAGGATCAGAGAGAATGAGGAACTGAATGTTTAGGTTGTAAACTTGGACAATGGGAAGGACCATGGTGCCTTAGACAGTAACAAGAAGTTTATAGAGGAAGAATAAGAGTAAAGATAAAGAAAATGTCATGAGATCAGAACTATGGTGCCTGCTGATAACATGCAACTTACTCTGTACTACCAAAAACATGACACTGCCCCAGAGTTGAGAGACTGACCTCTGAGGGGGATTTTCCATACCCACAGGATGATGCTGAGTGCAGACAGGGACATTTTTCCCAATGGGAGCTACTGCTGCAGGTGTCTGGGTGGGGTTAAATTACAATGGCCCCGAGGGGCCAACACTCAGCTAAAAAAGGGTACAATCCATCTCTTGCAGAGGGGAGTGAGTGGACAGAGCACAGAAGTGTTATGGATATTGGTTTTGTTGAAGACAAATCCCATTTTCTGATCTATTGATCATATAACCATTGGAAGGTGGTATCAGGTCAGTTTCCACTTTGGAGACCACTGGACTAGATGACTTCTGAGGGTCCATGACCTATGATCCTATAAAAGAAATTTGATGGGATTTTGCAAGAACGGGGACACATGTATTTAGACTGTCCTTAACAAGTGAATTATATTCTAAAAATTCATATAGCATGAAATTCAAAAAATATTTTCCCTCAGAAACATTATGTTAACCAATCAATAGCCGTTTATTAAGCATCAACTATGTGCCTGGCATTGGGGACTAAAACACAGGTCACTCACTGACTAGAAAGGAGTCACAAAAAAGCCAATTTAACTTGTAACAGCTGAAAGAGTAAAAATGCTAAATGAAATACTACACTCTTCAAGACAGTAAAATCTGGTAAGGAAGCTTAAAAAAGGGTTTTTTTTCTTTCAGAATTTATTGGAGAATTAAAGGAATGGCTCTTTGGTAGGCTGGAGAAAATTTCAAATGTTAAATTTTAACTTGTTTTACTTACTCCATACAGATGTACCTCATTTCGCAAGACAGGAAATTTAAGTTGGAAAACATGCTATTCAAAATTTAAATAAACCTGGGAGAAGACCTATTATAATGAGAATAAACTTATTCAAATGTCACTTATTTAACTGTTTGAGAAATATAAAAATATCAAATTAGAATAATTGTTCGACTTATTTTCTTAAAACAGGACACACATGTAATCAGAATAGGATTTGACACCCTACGTTTTGCTATTTTCTTCCTTGTTCAGTCCTAAAAACAATCAAACCTTCATCAAAATTATCATTAGTGAGATTATTTTCTACACTCTCTTATATTTTTGCTTAACCCTTGCTCTGAATGTTCTGATTTCCTGATGTCTTAACTCTTCAATTAAAAAAAAACTGAGGCAAAATTAATTTAACTGACATACTAATTTCTAAACACAAATTTAAAGACAGACTTACCCAGTTCCATCCTCAAAAGATGATTTCCATCTTAATGTTACTGAATAGGGAACAACATCCGTGATGGAAAACTCACGAACTTTAAAGGCTGGAGAAAGAATTGCGCACTGAAAAATAAAACACCAGTATAAGTCACAAGGGAAAAATACCATTCGTGGCTGTGCTATCTTAAAGAAATGGTTCAATAAAGTATGTGTAGTAACTAAAACCTGAAGTGTATTTGCAAGTTACTTCTGATAAGAATTAGTTCCTCTGTGTCAATCTGTCTTTCTTCAAAACTGATACAAATAAATATCATTCTGAAGTTCCTTAAAAGACAAGGAGGAGCTGGATTTGACTGAATCCTCGCTGTTACACTTAGAAGCTTAGGAACTGAGGCTCAGAGAGGTCAGTAAATAGTCATGTAACTAGTGAATGTCACAGGCAGGATTTTGAGCCCTGGTCTTCTTGACTCCAAGGCCAGTCTATCACAAGTACACTCTATCACAAGACTTCTCAAAGCAAGAAGGTGCTAGCAGAAGCTGAAACACAAAGTCAGACATCATTGCTGCTGGTTTAAAACATGACAATATGGTCTAGCACGCATGATATTTGAAGGAGTCACCACGTCACCACAGCTCTTGAATTCTATTTAAAGAAATTAGTGAACCTGGAGCCAGAAGATGTAGGCCCCAAGCCCACCTGTCACTTTCCTCGTTAGGTGACCCTGGTCACCCTCCTGATGTCCTCCTGGATGAAACATAAAATAACATCTTCTCTCTGGCATCTGAAGCTGCTCATAAGCTGGCCCTTCCTGACCTCACCCCATGCTCCCCTCTGGGTACTCTGCCCACCTCCTCGTCTTCCACGTGCCACCTTCTGCAGGAGGCCTGTGCTAGGCCCTATCCTTTTAGATGACCTTCCATCTACTCTGTACAAACTTCCTACCTATTATCTCAAACTGACTGAACCCAAATGTAGTGTACAGCACTGTGCAGGAGTGAGAGGGGAATGGTCCAAGCTCCTGGCTCCCACATAATGTGCCTGACTCTCTCTCTGTGGCAGGCTGGAGAGGACCTGGTACCTAGCTCCATGGATGCTACCTCCCCCACGAGAATGCCTTCCCTCATACACCTGGTGCTCAGCACAATGCCTGGGCACACAGCAAGCTCTTAATAAATGCTTGCTGATAGACTGGAATGTTATCTTCATCTCTTGCAGTTTTGTTCCCTTACTTGCAAAATGGGAATAATAATTCTTGTGTAGAGGATGTTGAGGAAAATGTTTTGTAAACCTTAAAGCACTACCTAAGTTAGGGTGCTGCTCTAATAAACTGTGGGAGGGAGGAAGGGGCTTTGAGGGCCATATAGATAGATGGTGATTTAACCATGTGGGGAGTCCCTGAAAAATGAAGCAATATGCCCCAAGTCCACCAAGACCTGTCAGAGGCGGGACTTGAGCTCAAGCCCGTGGGACTCTTGGAGCCAGAGCTTACTGCCTCACTTGCTCTGATAACACTTACTTGGTCATTTCTTTGTTGTGAACACACACACACACACACACACAGCCCCTCCAAAGTGGCTTCTTAATCTGGGGTCCAGGAATGTCAACAACAACAACAACAATGAAAACACCCCACAACATTCTGATAACTTTATTCTAGCATCACTGATTTCCTCTGTAATCTTATGGGTTTTAATTTATGCATTTATGCTTTCAGAAACCAAGTTTCTGAAAAGGGGCCCACAATATGCCAAAGGGGTGACACAAAAAGGGGAACTCAGCTTTGGCCTCGAGAGCTACTGTGCTGCCAACCTGGTGCGCAACCACGGCTCCTACCTAGCACCGTACACCCTCAGAACAGACACAAACCCAGCGCCAGGCCCTGGCTCAGCCCCAGCAGCCTGCTGGCAAATCCTGAAGAGAGCCCTGAAGGACGGTGGCACCCTTTGGCATGCAGCATCCCAGGAGAGGACCACTGCTCACAAGTCCACCTCAGCACTCCTGAGGTTTACAAAGCAGTTCACTCACAACAACTCCCTAAAGCAAGTCATGCAGACGTCATTAGCCCCATATTACAAGTGAGCAAAGTGACGTTCAGGCGGGGTCATCTGCTCCTGTCGGGCACTGCAAAGAGCCAGACGACCCCAACACCCGCAGAGGCCCCACCTACAGGACAGTTGGCCTCCCACGTGCACGGCCCCCGTACCTGCAGTGCGCACCCTCTTGCAACAGCTTCATCGGCGTTTAATGTGGTACTTATGTCTTTAAGGAAGAACTTGGCAATCTGCTCCTTCACGGCGGGGATTCGGGTTGCGCCTCCCACAATTTCTATACTGTTTATGTCGTCACGGCTCAAGTCTGGAAAAGAAAACAAAGTTTTTTTGGTTCTAGTCTCATCACCTTAAAATATTTTTTCTGCCATATACAGCCAAATACTGAGTGTGTATATAGATCCATATACATCAGTTGGCTACAAATTATTGTTAAAAATCTGTTTCTAATTCAGATTCTATAAAACATACAAATGAACTGGTAACCAGAGATCAAAGATGAACAAACACATTGAATGTCTGGGCCAGAGATATGGACACAAGACTCTGCCTGGGATTTAAAAAGGATTAGAAGAAACCAGACTTGACCATAATAAGGAAAAGTCACACTCTGCTATGACAAAACCCTTGAGAGGTCAGGTCACTTTCACCAAAACCGCTCTTCTACGGGTAACCTACTTACATGCTCATACGGAATGATACATCAGAAGACTTGTAACATCATACAACTGAAATGTGAAGAGGTTTTAGTCATGAGAATGAGGAGCCGTGACTGACAAGCACCGTGATGAGTAAAGCTAAACCACAACACAGAAAGAAGAGAGTCGGAGTTCAAGTTCTGGTCCGGATATTTGATTCCTGTGTGACCTCATTCCTCTGTTAACTGAGAGGGGACAGGCCAAGGGGAAGGGGGAAGCCTACTTCAAACTCCTTCGTTTTCTCACCTAAAAACATTTTCAGTTCACACAAACTATTTTGGACATCTGGCACTGCAGGGGATACTTCGCAATTTTATTTGCGACAGTTTTCAAAAATGTTTTAAAATAAAGGTGGGGGCAGCTAGGTGGCACAGTGGATAGAGCACCGGCCCTGAAGTCAGGAGGACCTGAGTTCAAATCCGGCCTCAGACCAAACACTTGACACTTACTAGCTGTGTGACAGTGGGCAAGTCACTTAACCCCAGTTGCCTAACCAAAAAAAAAAAAAATTAAAAAAATAAAGGTGATGTGTTAGTGACCACAGAAGTTCTACTTTTAAGTTATTTTCAGACAATAAGAATATTCAAGTTTTAGGCAAATGCCTGCTTTTCTAATATAGTCGATTTGTTACCAAAATCATATTTAGTCACTATGAAATAATGCCCTCAGACTTCTAGTCATTTACTTTCATGGGACCAGACAGCTCAATCACAGCCCATGCCTAAGCCACCACCCCTCCCCACGAGAAGGAAGAGAAATCTCCTATCATGTTTTGATCACGCAGCCTTTCTCCCACTTTCACCCATGACTGCCCACACTCTGCCGAGACAGATCACAGCACGGCCGTCAAACCACTGCCGACTTACTTGCTTGTTCCATTACAGCTTTTAAAGGTGGTTCCACTCTGGCCAAGAGAGAAGCACAAAGCTGCTCAAACTGAGCCCTGTGGGGAAAAAAAAATCAAGAGCATCAGGCAAAGACAAGGGGATGAGCAGAGGGCACTCTGAAGTACCACAGCGAAGAAATCTTAAGTGACCCCAACATTAAACCAGCAAAGACTCCGAAAAGCACCTGTTCATTTTACTGGAAACATCAAGGTCATTCATGAAACACTCGATGTTCAAAGGAAGGTCCGACGCATTTGCACTCATCAGTTTCTTTAGTTTTTCACACTCCTGGTATAAGCGCAGCAGGGCTCGAGAATTATCTTTCACATTCAGTTTATACTTTGCCTTGAACTCGTCACAGAAGTAATCTACTAAAGCATCATCAAAGTTCCTGCCACCCAGGTACGGATCAAAAGTAGTAGCCAAGACCTGGTTAATTTAAAAAAGAGAATTAAATGTAAATAGATTTAATTGTATTATCTGGTAATGTGAAGAACAGTCCTTATCACTTTAAAACACTTTACAAATGTTCTCAAAGCAGCCACATAAAACTGTTCTACTGGCATTAAACACTTGTTTTGTTGGAGGAAAAAACAACAAAAAACCCCTGTGCTTTGAAAAGGTAAGTCCTGGCTTTTTAAAAGGTGATGCACAGATCAAAGAGGGAGCATGTACCCCTGCTCTGGGCAGCTCCCCATCCCCCAGCCTTCTCTCATTCTAGTTCTAGCAATGGGAGATAGTATACTGAGACAAGAAAAAGAAATGGGGTTATGCAATATGCACAGGAAAAAAGTAAATAAGATGAGCACTTGGTGCAGATGACGGCACGGTTCCCTAAAGATATGACTACAACTTAAATAAAACACTTAACAACTACAGTAAAGTAGCAGCATATAAAACAAATGTACACAACCCAGCAGAAAGAGTTAAACAAAGAGCTACCTGAATAACTGGTTGGGTGATACCACACTATGATAACAATGACACTAATCAAATTAATCTATTATTCAGTGCCATATACCACCAAGAAGTGACACTGTAGAACACACACACATATGAAACAACAGGTCAAGAATTTGAAGGGAAAGACTAGAAAAAGTAGAGCAGGGGGCAGGCTGCAATACCGGGTCTCAAACTGTGGTTATACCTATCAAAACTATTGGGCATGGGTTTTAAAACAGGAAAGACTAGGTATTCAGCATCAAAAACTCTCATTTACTGGCAAACTGGCAAGCAGTCTGGAAGAAACTGGGCTTAGATCAACATCTTACACCATATCCCACGAGAAATTCAAAACGGATATGCAACGTGCATATTAAAGATCACACTACCACGACACTAGCAGAGACCATGGATGTTTCACAACTGTGAGTAAGAGATGAATTCTTAACCACAGAAGGAACAAAGGTAATTACTGCAGAGAGAGAATTCTGATTACATGAAATTTCTAGCATCAACAAAATTAACGCACCCAAGAAAACGGAAACAGTCCACTGACAAAAAAAATCTGAGTCAAATTTCTCAAATATGGGTGTGGTATTCAAGATTCACAACCAAAAGCTCTTCCCCAATAGATAAGTGGGCAAAGGATATGTAGAACTTTCTCATAAGAGAAATGCCAATCAAAAACTACCCTGATGTTTCACCTCACATTCAGCAAAAATGACAAAAGAGGTAAACAGTCAGTGTTGGAGGAGCTGTTGGCAGAGTTGCAAATTAGTTTATGTATTCTGGAAAGCAATTTGTAATTATGTAAAGAAAGCCACTAAAATGGTCATACCCTTTGACTCAGAGATTCTTTTGTTGTTCAGTCGTGACTGACTCCTATTTGGGGATTTCTTGACAGAAACCACAGGAGTAGTTTGCCATTTCCTTTTCCAGCTCAGTTTACAGATAAGGAAAATTGAGATAAACAGGGTTAAGTGACTTGCTCAGGGTGATATGTATCTGAGGCCAGATGTGAACTCATGAAGAGGAGTCGTCCTGACTCCAGACCTGGTGCTACCTACCCGCCCCCCCCCCCCCCGATTCTGCTGCCAGGCATATATCACAAAGAGGTCACTGACAAAAAGAAAAGCTCCAAATAGATGCCAAAATATTCGTAGCATTACTTTTTGTTGCAGAAAAGAACAGGAAAAAAGCAGATGTCCACAGACCGGGAAGTTAAATTATGATGACTGCAATGGACATGGAGAAACAGGAAAAGAAAACAACCTGCACACTGATCACAGCAACGTAACTGCGAAGAACTACTACCACCAGAACCGGAGGCTGCAAAATTAAAAAGAACAAGCCACACCTTTCATTTTAATGAAGAAATGGAAACAAAGGGGGATGCCCATCAACGTGGGGGATGGCTTATGGCATCAAAAACGTGATGGATTATTACTGCACCATTAGAAATAAGAAACACCTGGGAAGAGTCCTATTAACTACTCAAAGCAAAGGGAGCACATAACAGTGGAACAATTTATACAGTGACTACATAAGCATCGAAAAGGAAAACAACTTTGAAAGACTTTCGAACTCTGACCAATGCAGAGGGCAACCTTAACTCAGAAGGCTGATGGGAAGCAGGCTTCCCCACCACTCGTCAGACACAGCTGATATATGAACTTATCTGGTACGCAGGAGGGCTTTCACTCTGGAAAAGGGCCAAGCTCTATAAGAAAAGTGGGGATGGGGGGAAGACACATGGAAGAGAGCAGGAGCTCCAAAGAGGCCACAGACAAGTGCAGGAATGGTGGTACAACGCCATTAAGCTGAAGAGAGTCTTTTAAAAAATCTATGAAAGAAAGTCGCAGTTTGATATATAACCTTTTTTCCAGCTCTTTACATATGGAAAAGTTCATGTTGCTTGATGTTTGTCAAGTTCATAATGAGAAAAAAATGAGAAGGAAAAAAGATGGCATGCTGCGTCTAAGTACCAGGCTTTTAAATCTATTTCTTTGGCTCGTGAGATCCAAGTACACACACTGTCACTTTCACTACAAATTCAACCCACAGAAACAATAATTTTTAATTCATTTATGGCTGATTCTAAAGAATTATGCAAGAGATAATTCTCATAAGAATTACACCTTTTTAAGAAACTGCTTTCAAGAATACAGATGTAAAGAATATAGACAGTATTCATTAGAAAAGTTAGACAAATAATTTATCCTAAGTCTTAGAAAAAGCACAAAAACTAGGTTTCAGAAAGAGTGTCCTTATTCTCAAGTCATGTTTTTTTCAATTAAATATATAACCTAATACATACAACAGCTCAAAGAAACCTTTCGATTTCAAGATAATTTTAATAACTACGGTTTTACTGTAAGTAATCTGGTGCATATTCTTAAATTTCTAGAAGAGCTCTGAGATGGGGGGGGGGAGAACAACATAAAGATACTTAGTGCCAAAGAAGCAACCTCCTAGCCAGCAATAATGAAAACAATGGAGACATGAGAATGGGGGTGGGGTGGGGTAGGTTAGGGTTCCTTCTCCCCAGCCCCTCCTTCCCTATCCACCCTGCAAAAAGTAAGACAACAGAAAACCAGAAAGAATCATAGGCACGACAGCTTTAAAGTTACATATTTTAATGAAAAATGTTATCCAACTCCAGGGAATGAACTGGTAGAGTATGAATGCAGATCAAAGCATCCTTTTCTTTTTGTTTTGTTTGTCTCTGTTTTCTTTCACAACATGACTAGTATGAAATATTTTGCCATGACTGCATATGCAACCTACATGAAATTGCTTGTATTCTCAATGAGGGGGGAGGAGAGAGAGAGAGGGAGGGAAAGAATTTGGAACTCAAAATTTGAAAAAAATGAATGTTAATATTTGGAAGAAAGTTACATGCTGAATTTGTAATACACTTAAAAAGAAAAGCAAGGTCTATATGAGAGATTCACAGTTTCATGTACAAATTCTCTTGTCCTATTTACAACGTATATAAAAATGCTCATTTTATTCAGAATTTGTTAAAACTGAGATAATAATAAAATAGCAAAGTCAACCCAAACAGTAAAGAATACAGAGCTAGGGACAAAGACACAGGAGATAGAGTATCCTAGCAACAATGCTATGATAATAGGAGCATGAGAGGTGCAGGGGAACACTTAGGGAACCTCCACCAAAGACTGAACATACCTTGAGGGCAGAGGCTGCTTTCACCTCAGTGCTGAGCACACTGGTTAAGTGCTTAATAAATGCATCTTGTCCGTCTTGAAATACTTTCCAAATAAATGTGTTTGGAAAGTAAGAAAGCCTAAGCCTGTAAAGTGTGAGCCTCGTAAAACAGAATAAACTATGATGTATAAAAGTAAAATATAAAGATAGAAAAAAATGGTGCCCATCAACTCCTGCTTAAATTATTCCCAAAAAGAACATTATATGTATTAAAGGAAAAGTAACATGGTCTAGTGGCTAGAGTAAACCTTGAAGTTAAAAAAAAAAACCCACCAAAAAACCAGGGTTCAAGTTGCCACTGAGATCCCTCTGGAACCTGTGAGCAGCAGAGAAGATTCTGACTTGCCCCTGGAGGAGGAAGCCCCTTGACTGAGAGGGGGCTCCCTATGCCAATGAAAGCACAGGTCCAGTCTCAAGGCAGGGTGTGTAGGGAGTTGGCCTTAGAGCCCATAAGAATTCACTTCAGTTGAGGCTCCCACCACCTCATCTGGGGAGTCTGGTCAAGTTGCTTGACCCCTCAGTGGCCTGGGCCATTTCCTAAGACCACAAGTTACAGAGGAAGTGCTGACCCGCACTGGCCTAGGAGTTTTCTGCTCTAGAGATTCCCTACATCAGTGAAGTCACAAGCCCAGTTCCTAACCCTTTTATTATAAAAAGGCACACTACTATTTTCTTTTCTTTTCTTTTTTTTTTTTTGCCTTTTTGGTGAGGCAATGGGGTCAAGTGACTTGCCCAGGGTCACACAGCTAATTAAGTGTCAAGTGTCTGAGGCCGTATTTGAATTCAGGTCCTCCTGATTCCAGGGTAGGTGCTCTATCCACTGAGCCTCCCAGCTGCCCCTACTACTATTTTATCTTACATGACTTCTCATCGATATCTGCACCAGAGCCACCCCCCCCCCCAACTCTGGACTCTGCCGCTGGGGTGCCAGACTCGGGAGGTGAGCCCGTTGCCTGCTGCTGCCTGCACACCAGCAATCATCTCCCACTCCTCTTGTTCCTCCCTCGACCCTCCCCAGCCTTAGCATCTTCTCAATTCCCCTTTTCTAGGCTCCCTTAATGTGCTGTGTTTCCATACTTGAATGTAAACTCCTGCAAGCCTGGCTCGCCTGTGTCCAAAGCCCCAATGTTTACCAGTGTCCACACAGAGTAAGTGCACAATAAACACTTTATCTGTATACTACCTTTTATCAAACCAATTACATGGACTCATTTTTAGTAAGAGAATAATAACCAAACGTAGAAAATCTCTCACGTACCTTGAGTTTTCCCTTGTTAAAAGCACAAACTGAAACTTGGTAGGCGGAATGCCCCATATCGACAAACACGACATTTCTTGGTTTCTCCTCCAAAGGGGGAAGGTCTTGCTTATAAATTCCATACGCGAGCGCAACTGTGAACACAAACATTTCCTTTGGAATTCCAGCCACTCTGGAGATCAAGTACCAGTGAATTATTTCCATAGTTTGAAATTTAATGCAAAAAGGGCACATGATCATTCATGAGGGGAGGGGATTCGCTCTTGGTCATCCTTCATTCCATTCCACAGCTTGACCAACAACGTCGGAGCACCCCTTAACATTAAAAAGAAACACGCCCCAACCACTGAGACACCCAAAGACGGCTGCTTAAACCAGCAGCTACCTACTCCCAGCTAAAATCCTCATGAAATCAGCACTTTCGTGCTAAGTCTTGAGGCTGACCAACTTCACTGCACTTGCCAGCAAAAAAATCAGCCACACATTGTTGCCAATGACTTTCCCATTGCTTACCTGCAGCGGTTTCATTCATCAGTCTTAAACAATTTAAGCCGGCGACCTGGGCAGCTGCCATCACGGACCTTCTCTCCGTGTCGGTGAAGAAACTAGGAACCTGACAGGTTAGGAACAGGGAGTAAATACAATAGTTCTACGTGACACAGTTCACCTTTAAGGTTTCAATTAAGCAAAGGGCAAAATAATGAATGCATCTGATTATACATATGAAGGCAACATGTCAAGAATCCACTGAAGCTCATTAAATGAGGAGAAAAAAACCTTGAAATGTTTATCCTAAAGTGATTCAGACAGAACTTAAAAACAAATTGAAAACAGAACATGAAAGTGATTTAATGTCCAAACACAACACACTGACAAAGTCCAAAGGAGCTAGAAAATAAAATGTCATTACAATATCTTATTCAAATTAATAATGATGATGATGATGATGACAAAGGTAATTGCTAATATTTATAAAGCTCTTACTATGTATCAGGTGCTGTGCTAAGTTCCTTACAATTATCTCATTTGATGTTCACAACAATGCCAGGAAGCAGGTGCGATTATCCATATTTCACAGATGGGGAAACCGAGGCAAACAGGATGAAGCGATCTGCCCAGGAGTCACCCTACTAGCAATGGTCTGAGGCCACATCTGAACTCAGGTCTTCCTGACTGCCGGACTGGTGCTCTTTCCAGTTAGTGTGTGTTAGTGTGTTCAACATTAACATTCTAACAGTGACCAACTGTGAAAGTCGCTGCTCAATACGGTGCTCCAAGACAATGCAAAGGACCCATGACGAAAAGCGCTGTCCACCTCCAGAGGGAGAATTGATGAACTCTGAGTGAAATTTCTTCATAATTTCTTGCTTTTTGTTTTTTTGCAAAATGGTTAATATGGAAATGTTTGGCATAAAAGAAGTGTGGAGTTTTTCATTTTTAAATTTTATTTATGTTTCTTTTTGCTGGGGGTTACTAATTCCACAATAACATATTTTAAAATTTAATTTAAATAACTAAAGCCTGCCTGAATGTTGAAAATTAGAACTCTTTGATGTATCCAGTGATCAATGAATTTTGCTCAATAATAAGCAGCACCGAAAAGTCAAACTTAATAAACAACAACACTTTACAAATGACTTCAGGGAACTAGTTTATACAAGGTTTCACTCTAAATCACGTTTTGGAAATCCAAACTTTCTCTCTGTATTTGCTTAAAGTAAGGTAGGTGTATGTGGATGATGACTACTTTGATGTGAATCTATTAATTAATATAAATTAATATGAGGTCTGTGTCCATGAACTCTCCCCCAGAGCTGGAACATCTAGGGCCTATCACCAATTCTTTGTTTTAGTAAAGCCTGAAATTTGATATCACGATCTTATTTGTACAATCCTCATACATGTTCTCCTGATAAAAGACATCACGATTTCTGAGCCTCAGCACTCCATGCTATAGCACAAGTTTAAGGACAGGGACACTGTTTAAGTAGCAACACAGCCTTTCTTTAAAAAGTAAACGTTCTCTTGGAAGCTGAGGGGATGCCCATCCACGGGGGAATGGCCGAAATGGAACAACATTGTGCTACAAGAAGTGATGAGCAGGCGGACTTCAGAAAAACCTGGAAAGACTTGTACGGACTGACACTGAAGTGAGCAGAGCCAGGAGAACGCGGTACACAGTGACAGCCACATCGTGTGATAACTAACTTTGACAGACTCAGCCCTTCTCAGCAATGCAAGGATCTCAGACAGCTCCAAAAGTCGCCTGATGGAAAACGCTCTTCACATCCAGAGAAAGAACGATGGAGACTGAATGCAGATCGAAGCAGACTGTTGGCTCTTTTTTTCCTTCTGTTTTGTTTTCTCTTTTCTGGTGGTTCCTTCTATTGGTTCTAATTTTTCCTAACAACATCACTAATGTGAAAATATGTTTAATGGGAATGTATATGTATAGCCCATATCAGATTTTGCGCCGTCTTGGGGAGGGAGGAGAAGAAAAATTTAAAACTCAAAAGCTTATGGAAATGATTGTTGATAAATCAAAATAAATCAATTTATAAAATTTTTTTTAAACAAACATTTAAAAAAAGTAAACATTCTCAACAAGCCATCAAATTTGAGAAAGATCTCAAAATTAAGAGCAAAATTATAGGCCCCATCCCGCTATCATTTTTATTTAGGAAAGCTCTGGTATCTAGAGGTCCTAAAGCTAGGGACAACTAACCTGCTTTGTAAAGAAGCTAGCTACCCTATGAGAAAATTAAATAGCCCCTGCACCGATTTCTCTCCTGCAGCCCTCTCCTCCTGAGCCCTTCTTGTCCACAGAAAAGAAGAGGCTGAGCTGCTGGGCTGACTATTGGACCCCATTCTCAAGTACAGTGAAGGAAGGGCAGTAACATCTTTCAGAGTGGTAAGGGCACGCCTGGGCCATGGTCTCATCACCCTAACACATCAAGAAATAAGCGCGTCTCACATCACAGGTGTGACCTTGGGCAAGTCGATCAACCTCTCTGGGATTTGGTTTCCTCATCTCGAAACAGCAAAGCGACAGAGTTTTATTAAGCCACCAAACTCGAGGGCAGCACTGGGAAGATACCCAAAGGAGGAGCTCCTCACTCTGCCCTCCAGGCTTACATTCTCCTGAGCACGTCCCTCAAGAAGAGGATGAAGTGGGGAGGAAAGCTCCTCAGCCCTTCCTGGTGTTCTCCTCTGCTCTGGTCGAGGCCCCATCACCCCTCTAGGGGCTTTCTCTCCCTCCCTGAAACCTGGGGTGCTGCTGCAAGATTGGCACTGGCTCCCAGCACCCCCGACTGTACACAAATGTCCAAATGACAAAATGGGAAACCATGGAAGAATGGCAGAACCATAAAGATGTCTTCCATAACCCACCTAGTGTATCGGTATGGTACTATAATCGAAATTGGGTAGCAATGATATACGCAATTAATATTTCCCCATCCCCACTGCAAAAGGACCCATCAGAGCATCACAGATGTAGAAATGGAAGGGACCCTGGAGATCATCTAATCCGCCCTTATTTTATAGTGGTTCCCCAAGCTAGGATTTGAACCCAAGCCCCCTGACGAAATTCAGTCCTCTTTTCACTGCACACATCATGATTCTCACAAAACAAGGTTCTCCCAATGAGTCAGCTCCTTTGAGGAAGGAAGTCAGGTACCTAATAGAAAAGAACAATTTTATGCCACTGGGGAAGCATTCAACAAATGACTGCTTCACTGACTCAAATAGCACCTTGTGGTCTAAAGCACAAATGAAGCTTTCTCACATCTCAGACTTGCTTTAGGGAATCCAGCCCCACTGATTATGAAGGCCTATAAAGTAAATAGTGATCTATCTTCTACAGCACAGGGCCATACACATAGAGTTATGGTTTGAATGTGCATGTCCTATGAAAATCCCAGTTTCTCTTACAAACCACCCCCATTTTAAAAAAAGAGAGAGAAAAGGACCTGCTTTTGTTGATAACTTTTGGGGAGACTGGGGCAGAGCCAAACCTGGTGGTGCAAAGGTTTTGGAGAAGGGGGTTGATATACTGGATGTAGTTTTGGAGATACAGCCACTGAAGTCACCAAGATCTATTTGGCTAATCATGACCAACATGTTGAAAAACTTCAAGCTATATAAAAATGAAATTTTTTGGGGGGGGAGGGGGTTAAGTGACTTGCCCACGATCACACAGCTAGTAAGTGTTATGTGCCTGAGGCCAATTTGAACTCAGGTCCTCCTGAATCCAGGCCTGGTGCTCTATCCACTGCACCACCTAGGTTCCCTTCTTCCTTTTCTTAAGACTACGAAGACCAGACACATAACCTGAAGGAAAAAAATTTAACATCACTTTACTTTTAAATAAAAAACTTCATATCTCTATTTTCTTTGCCTTGTGGATAAAAAAAAAAGGCTCTGCACTGTCAATGGACTCAGCTTGGTCCTTCAAGATATTCTTACATTCCAGCCCTTCCACGTGAAAAAGAAAGCTAACTGGATTTAGTGGTCATTGACTGGGTGAAGAACACAGACAGAAAGCAAAAAGAACCAGATACCTGCAGTGTATAACATACAGGACACTAATCCAACAAAAAGAATATCAAATAAGACCAGCGCTTTACATAACTCATCTCGTTTGAACCTCCCAACAGCCCAGTGGGGAAGGTGTTAATCCAAGAATATCTGATCAAAGTAAAATACGGTACAACTTACTGAAATCACACAATCTGCCACAGGCTTCTTCAAAGCATTTTCTGAAGTCTCCTTAAGCTTGGCCAAAAGCATTCCAGTGACCTGCTCGATTGCAAAAGGCCGATCTTCTTCTAGGTACCGAACCTGAAAGCAAAGGAAAATGTCAGTAAGCAAAACAAATAAATATTTAATGAGCCTATCGGAAAATTAAAAAATAAATGGATAAACTACATAAGAACTTGAAATAGAAACCTAATCTTTAAAAGATTCATTTCAGCATAAATGATTTTTAAAGCCTTATCATTCACTCCTTATTTTTTCCTCTGCTTTCACAAAGAAGACATCTGTTGCTTTCATTTTTTAGTAACAGAGGCAAGAAAAATATAAAATAAAAACTATAAACTCTGTGCTAGGTGAGTCTTCACTAGAATTTACTATATCTGCATGATTTCAGGGTACTTTTCCTCACAAAATATATGTTTAAAACTTCTACAGAAAAGAGATTAAGACAGCATGAATTTCAATAATAAAAAATAAAGCAATACTCGGGAAGCTGAATATTGCTAAGTTAAAAGAAGCCAAGGGAAGGTACTGTAGTACCAAGGCTATATTATAACATAAATAACCTCAAGCACAATAGCTTTAAACATAAGGTTCCTTTTTTGGCAAAGTAAACATTAATACTTGCCTTTAAAAATCTTAATTCAGAAATGTTATTGAAATGCTATTCAAAAATGCTTTCCTTTATTTAATACCTTTAACACATGTCAAGATGTTTCTGCAATAATTACAAACATTTTTTCAAAGGCAATCCTCAAACCAGTTTAGTCCTTTCCCTAAGTAGCTGTAGCTCTAATTCTCCCTATCCCCCTGCAATTTCTCTAAAGTCAGTTTTATTATTAAATTAAGCAAGATAATAATCAAATAGTTTTGCCTTCTTAAAAACCTTATTCACTTGAATAGAAAGGAACGGAAATCTTGGTGAAGCTATCTGAGCTGCCAAGAAAATGTGAGCGAGTAGAATGACTGCCTCCTAGGTGGGTTTTCCGATTGTTACGTTATCGAGTTGCTGCCCTGGGCAGGTACCTTAACTCCTGTACTTCCATTCGGCATTTTCTGAAGCTCATAGGGAAGCTTGAACCTTTCAGTCTGTACAATGGGATCATCAAAAGACCGTCCATGGAGTTTTTTGAAGCCATGTAATGTATTTCTTACATTTGTAACAATCTGTTAAAAAAAATACTGTTATTAATCAAAGTACACCACCAAATCTTTGCCCTTTACAAGTAAAAAACAGAACCCCTGTTTTCTGCATGTCCAGTTTTACGATAAAACAAGTTTCTGACTTACCGTGTGCACTAAGAATAACAGTTAATACATTCTTCATATTGATTCTCTTTTTTTCTCTTTTTCTTTTTTTGTTGTTGTTGTAATTTTAGGCAGTGGGGTTAAGTGACTTGCCCAGGGTCACACAGCTAGTAAGTGTTATGTGTCTGAGGCCGCATTTGAACTCAGGTCCTCCTGAATCCAGGGCTGGTGCTCTATCCACTGTGCCACCTAGCTGCCCCCTTAATATTGATTCTCAAAAAACTATGAATTATGCAACAATGGTGCAAACATTTTCATTACCCCACAGCTCCTGCTTTGATAAAATACAGAAAAAGTTCAAAATAAATGTATTTTTCAAAAGGAAAAGTTTTGTCAATGTCAGGGTTTCTTTTATAATCACCTATATCTCACCATCTCTTGCCAGTTATTTTTCATCTATTCCTCTCCTTTTATTACTTATAAAAAGAAAAGCCATGTGGGAGAGTGGAACCAGGATCCTGTTTCTGACACTAACTTTCCAGCTCCACGACCAGTGGTCTACTGCTAAGTAACAGTCAATCTCACCGACACTGAGACAACTCTTAAATTACAGACCTGTGTTCACAGTAACAAGTCCCCAGGTCGGTTCTAGTGGTTATTCCCACCAGTATCCCCCTCCAATCTCTACTAAATTCCATCTCCCCTCAAAGAAGATCCAATTTATGAACAAGCTTCTCATGTTCAGCACATTGTCCCCAACTTCTAAGGTCCCACTAAGGTCCTAAATCTATAATCCCATGAGACTTTCTGGAAAGCAGGTTTCATTTAACTAGGTATATGCTCTATGAGGGGATACACCCTACTTCAAAAAATTCAGTGAATAACAAATCAAAATACAAATTGCCATAACTTTTGAGCAGCCATGACTTTAAAATCTAAAGAGGAAACCAGAGGTAACATATTACAATTACCATTCTAAAGCCAGAATGATATTATCTTGCCTAAGATTGTCAAGTCAGCCCGCTGTTCAATAAAGGCAACGTGACTGCTTCCCTCAAAAAATGTAAGAATGAATTCTGGGATGCACCAGAAATTCAGTCAAACTATCGTGTCCACATGCATCAGGCTTGGGTGAGCTCAAAGCCCAATTCTGTTTTTTTTGTTATTTTTTTTATTTTTAGGCAGTTGGGATTAAGTGACTTGCCCAGGGTCACACGGCTAGTAAGTGTCAAGTGTTTTGGTCTGAGGCCGTATTTGAACTCAGGTCCTCCTGACTTCAGGGCTGGCACTCTATCCACTGCGCCACCTAGCTGCCCCATCAAAGCCCAATTCTGGAGTGGAACTGATAGTCAGCTTAATATTTATCCAAATTGAAGAAATATTTATGGGAAAACAACCTTAAATAGTTGAAAAAAAAAGGTTAGAGATACAAAGAAAGAGAGAAAGAGAGAAAAAATATCCCCAGCTCAATTTATGTAAGACAAATAGAAATCACACATACAAATATAAGTGGAGCACCATGATAATTAATAGTTAATTAAGTCTTGTATACTGGTAACACGGAAAGGGGGGTGGGAAAGAAATTCTTAGGAAAATCAATGCTATTCTACCTTTTCTTTTTAAGAGAGGAAAAGATTCAGGTACACATTAAAATTCAAGAGAACTCACCGATTTTAAAACTGAAGAAAATAAGGTTGAAAGGAAAATTAGCTGTAACACTGAAGTAAAAAATATATGCTTTCTTACTAGTGAACAGATACCATAACCCAAAAACTTTTAAAATACATTCTATATAAATTAATGGCAGCTTCAAATATCCCTGTTTATTATGAAGTTTCTCTAATTTTCTATCTCACTTCTTCCTAAGATCCTCCTCCCCTCAGGTGGAGCTTCTTGTCAGGAAACCCTTCAGGCACGCAGATGCGGCCTTTGTCCCACAGCATAAAATATATACATCTTAACATCTACTAACAATGTTTTCACACACATCAGCAGCATCAACACCCTGAACTCACAGTTACTTTGAAAAAAATAACTGCAAATTATTCTGACCAACACAATCAACTATACCATACTGATCATACAATAGATCAAAGAAAAATAAGTGGGAAAACACCTAGGTTAACACTAGATTGTTAATACTTTCAGGTCATGTTTATGCTTTATTCAAGCTCAATTTTTTGGGGGGTGGGTGAGCAAAATACAATAATTAAGAATTAAAATACTATAGTCAATGTAACACAAATTTTAATTATAGGTTTTGTTTTCTGCACACCTTTATTCTCCCTTTACTACATGTATGAATTAATCAGGATCCCCCTACTTAATCTAAATAAGATCTTCCCACTACTTATGTAATGCATATTTAATTCAAAAGTATGTGTGATTTTAAGGAACCACCAAAATTAAATTAATTTACCTGGCTTTTGGCTGCATTCCCAATTGTTCGAGTTTTGGATCCTAAAGATATACAAGCCCTAAAAAAGAAGAAATAGTCAGATTTTACTAAAAGTTAAAGATAACTCTGGAGGGAAAACAGGTAGCAGGTTAAGGAAAAACAAAATCAATCTTCCTCTAGTACTTTTGTAATTTATTGTTATGCACCTGACTATAAAAATAAAAACCAACTCTTCAAGGACTGATATAATCATGTAATTAATGAAACTAATAAACTATTTAAACATTTAAAAATGGCAACTTAGTTCTTATATTTCTAACTATCTTTCTCCACAAACAATGGATCCCAAATACATAATAAAGATGACTTATGCAAGAATATGAATCTAAAAGTAATCAAGAAAAAAAAAAGAGACCAAATCAATTATGTAATTTTCTCCTCAATCTAAACTGCACAACCACATTATTTGTAACACAAATCTTTATCGTCAAGTCGATTGCTACTATGTAAAATTCTGGCTATGAAAAGCAGATTTAACATAATACATTTTACAAACAAAAACTTCCACGTGATCCAAGAAAAAGTTTATGGGATCACAATCCTGAACAGATTCAACAACTACACATACTGAATACCTACAATCCATTGAACACCCAATTGCATCTTGTGTGGGACACAGTGTGGTACTAGATGAAGGCTCTGCTTTCAAGGAGCTGGGATATATCTCAAAGGGGAAGAGACATGCCCAAACCACTGAAGTGTGAGGCGGCCTGCTCCAAGAGGCACAAACTAAGTGGCCAGAAGAATAGAGAACACAAAGTGGACAACCATCAGCTGGGCTGAGGATGGCAGGCCAAAGAAGCTAAGTACTGAGGCCTTAAAAATATTACTAACCAAAGTATCGAGATATATACCCAATGAGGAAGAAACTTCCACAGAACCTTACATGTGACAACATAACAATGAGGACAGTCATAGCACATTACAATTATCGTCTCCTTTGATCCTCTCACAACAACCTGGGAGGTGCTGTTATAATTATCGATATTTTATACATGAGGAAACTGAGGCAAACAGGTTGAGTGGTTTCCCCAAGGTCACACAGCTAGTAACAAAGTAGAATAAAAATGACTTAACGGATCAATAATAAACCCCCAAAACATCAGTATATATAATATACTGGGCTCTGGGGCTCTAAGTCTACCTATACCTCTGCTACTTTTCACTTTGTTTTCATGCGTGTGCATGCAGGTATTTCCATTTCTGCAATTTAGCTCTGCTTCATGTCATACATCTTTCCATGTTTCAGTGTTATATCCAATATTCACTTTTTTAATGACATCCTAATATCACAACAACTCATCTTCCTGAGTTTAAATCTGGCCTCACTTACTAGCTGTGTGACCCTGGGCAAGTCTGTCAACCCTGTTTGCCTCAGTTCCTCATCTGTCAAACGAGCTGGAGAAGGAAATGGCAAACCACTCCAGTATCTTTGCCAAGAAAACCCCAAAGGCGGTCACAGAGAGTCAGACATGACTGAAATGACTGAACAAATACCAACAACACCTTAATGGCTTGTTTGGCTAGTCTCCAATCTTTGGATACAGAGACTGTAGTTTTTTGATATTACAAACAAGAAGATCATGAATATTTTACATTTTTGACACTTTTCTTAAGAATTAGATCGACAGGTGTGAGTCAGTGTCAATCAACATTTAGTGAGCACCTACTACATGCTAAGTGCCGTGAATACAAAGAAAGGTCAAAAACAGTCCCAGCTCTCAAGGAGCTCACATTCAGTTTAACAGGGCAGGTAAATAAGTAAAGCAGCAGGGGCAGGAAACGGCATTTCAGAATGTTTTAAGAATATCTGGGGAATGCAAGGTAGTCATTGGTACAATAGTGCAGTACAGGCTTGCCAGGCATATTAAGGCCAGCTCTGGTGCCGCCAAGACATGGATAGACACTGCAGGGGCAGACAACAATAACATCTCCTTCCTTGTTCTGCCACTTCTCCTGCTGACGTGGGCAGAATACAACTTCCATGCAGACCATCATGTACGTGGTATAACTCTCATGGATCTCAGAGACCAAGAAAATTCAAGTTTCCCGTGTGTTCTTTCCAGTTTTCTCTCATGACAGAGAGGATGACTATTGCTTAACTTCCATGTCTGTCTTCACATCAATTTTCTTTTTAAAAAGATTTCTGAACAGTTATGAAAAGACATTTATCAGACGGTTAAGGGTTAAAAACACTTATGCACCTAATGAGACAGATTCTCTTCCAGAAACCTTTATTTACCTGCTAAATGGATTCAAAAAAAACCAAACAAACAAGACCTGAAAACCAAAATATCCATTTGGCTATTTTAACGTCATTGTGAGTATTCCCACTAGAGCAGCTCATAAAGCTGCTGCATCCAAAAGACAAGAATCCTTGATCCACCATTAAGCAGGCAACCTTCTGATGACAGGCCTTTCTCCACGTAGCTAAGTGAGTCCTCTGACAACAGGCCTGTTTGTCTGTCACCAGCCTGGCATGCTCTCCTGACACAGACTTCTACAACTCAAGGTCACACTTGCATATAATAGCATACGCAAAGGTCTACATACATGGTATATATACAGTACAGGCCAGTTTGTCCTGAGTTGTTTTAAATACAAACATCCTTTAGGAAACTCTGCTTTCACGCCTAAAAAAGAGAGCTTACAACACTACTAAAAGCTCCAGCTAGCCATAATGTTCTCAGAAGATACTTTTAACACTTAGAGATATTCCCCAAATGGAAAAAAGAAGTTGTCACAACTTCCAGAGAGCTGATAATTACTGCTCTAGAGTTTAATGATATCGATTCTCAATTTGGTAAACAAACACCTGCTTATTTGATCAGACCACTTTTTAAAGGGCATTACTAATTAGGTGAGTGCGCCTACATACTATTTCCAGCTGGTTAGGTGGATATTCTCACCTAAGAATCCCTAATACCCACTAGCTTGTTTCTGTGTTAGTCCCTTTTTTTTTTTTCTGGCCAGGCAATGGGATTAAGCACCCAGGTCCTCCTGACTCCAGGGCTGGTGCTCCATCCACCGCGCCACCTAGCCGCCCTTGTGAGTCCCTTTCAACAAAGGCTCAGCTGAGGACCCTTGCCTAACAAGATCAGCAGTTAGTCTCTCTAACAGGAGCAGCTGCAAGCTTCCCCCAGCCACCCTCCCAGCCTTCTGGCAACCCAGCTATCCGGCTGCGGTCAGGGCAGCAGGTCCAAACGCAGCAGCCTGCCGTCAAAGAGAAAATGTATACTTTTCTTGGAGCTGTTAATGAAAAGTTCTCTACTACTGAGATAGAGCAGAAGAAAAGTAATGTGCCATTCCTCTGTAATCCTAAGCATTTCATTTTATGCATTAAAAAACATTCTGAAGAGGGGCCCACGGGCCTCACCAAACTCTCAAAGGGGGGCTTCCTAGTGGTTTCTAATGTCAGGGACCCCCTCTGAGAGTCTCGTAGTTAGACAGTTTAAGACATAAAGCAGAAGTGAATGTTTCTCAGCAAGTAACTTGTCGGACATACACCATATCAAGAATTTGACTTAACATTTCTAACAATTCAACTGATTGGAAGACATTAACACACAATGTCTACCTTTTCTAAATGCCATGAATGGCTGAACATTGAGCCTCAAGTTGTTTTTTTTAAATACAAATTATCCAACGAAAATGTGAAAAATAAAAGTTTACTGCCGGCATGTTAAAATTGCAAACATCTGCATGAGAATTTTTTAAAAATTCCTCTTATGTCTTGCAACGAAACAAATCTAACATTTTAAAAACATGAATCAGATCATTCTAAAACTCTCTTTGTCCATGGCTTTTAACAGCTCACAAAAGTATAAGATTCCTAATTGGGGAAAAATGTAGGTGTCTCATAGGACTTTAGATCTGATAGGAACCCCTGGAGATCATCAGGGCTGACCCTTTCATTTTACAGATGAAGAAAATGAGACCCAGAGAAGTTTTGAACTGACTGTCCAAGGTCTTGCAGCTTGAAAGTAACAATATTAGAGCCAAAGCATAGGTCCTGACTCCAAATCCAGGTAATTTTCAGGAGAGGAAAAACAAAACTTATCAACACAGTAAAATCCTTCCTATGAGAATAAGCTCATTTTAAAAAGTTTTATTATGCACTTAAATATCCCTAGCCTTCCCCACAAAAAAACATTTCTATACATATAACGAGAACACAAAAAGAGGATTCTAGGCAACCACGAACCTCCATTTCATGCTGCTCGGTACTGTAAAACACAGAAAATATTCTACAAGTTCCTGCTTGTCTAGGCTTCCTTTGGATCTCTTCTGTGCATTTTTTTCCCATTCAATTTTATTTTTACTTCTAGATTCTCTCCCTCCACCTACCTCACCCCCCTCCCCACCCATTAAGAATACAAAACCCACTATGAATATGAAGTCATACAAACTAAATTTCCATATTCACCATGTTATGAAAGAAAAAGAAAAAATAAGAAAAAAAATGCTTCCACTGGCACCCAGACTCTACCTCGGCTCTCTCTGGAAGTGGGCTGCATTGTTTCCTCATGAGTCCTTTGGAATTGTGGTGGGTCACTGTGTTGATCAGAGTTACTAAGTTTCTACGTGTTGATTATACTATTGCTGTTACTGTGTGAATTGTTCTCCTGGTTCTCTCACTTCATTTTGCATCAGTTCAAAAGTCTTCCCAGGTTTCTCTGAAGAAATTCCCCTGCATCATTTCTTATAGCACAATAGTATTCCATCACAATCACATACCATGATTTATCCAGCCACATCCCAACTGATGGACATCCCCTCAGTTTCTAATTCTTTGCCACCTCAAAAAGAGCTGCTACAAAATTTTTATACATATGGATCCTTTTCATCTCTTTGGGGTATAGACTTTGTCTTCTATGCATTTTTAAAGCTAAGTTTTATTGAAAAACAAAACCCATTATAAACACATATACTCATGCAAAACAAATTCCCAAATGTGCAGACTTCCCACCCAAGGTCTTAATCTGAACTGAGTCGATGACCTCTCTAACTGAAGCTGAG